AGGAAGGGTCTAGTATCGGTGGAGGAGCAGGCGGCGGGGCTGGCGTTGGAGGCAGTGGAGGAGGACCAAGCGCGGGAGGCGCTGCGGGAGCGAACTCCGGAGGTGGCGACGCCCAGATGAGCAGTTCCCACAGCTTTGCCAACATCTCGCGTCAGACGTCGGAGAGTGCGCCCGGCCTGGGCGGCTATGTGACCTACATGGACCAGAATGTGTTCGTGAAGCTGGCCAAGAGCAGCACCACCACCACCGCCACTTCGGCCGCAGCTGGAGCAACGTCCGGAATAAATCGCCAGCGGGAGAACCTACAGGAAAAGCCCACCCTGCGCCTGAAGCTGGCCAGCGTGGGAAAGGATGCGCCTCTGGTCTCGCTCTGCCTGGCATTGGCTCTCCTGGCCCGACGCTCACTGGCCACCGCCTCCCACAGTTCCCTGACCGGCGTGGAGTTCTTCCTTCATGGCCTGCATGCCCTTTTCAAGGGAGACTTCCGTATTACCTCGCCCCGCGACGAGTGGGTCTTTGCGGACATGGAACTCCTGCACTCGGTGGTGGCGCCGGCTGTTAAGATGGCCCTCAAGCTGCAGCAGGATCACATAACGAATCCGGACGAGTTCCTCGACCCGCACGCCCTGTACGAGGCCATCGACAACTGTTCCAAGGAGCTGGTCATCTCCCACGAGGCGGATCCGGTGTGGCGCAGTGCCGTGCTGCGGGGAGCGCCCAATCTTCTGGCCCTGCGCCACGTCATGGAGGATGGATCGGACGAGTACCGCATCATACGGCTGACCAAGCGCTTCCTCAGCTTCCGTGTCATCAAACTCAACCGGGAATGCGTCCGGGGACTGTGGGCCGGACAGCAGCAGGAGCTGATCTACCTCCGCAACCGGAACCCAGAGCGAGGCAGCATTCAGAACGCCAAGCAGGCGCTGCGGAACATCATCAACTCCAGCTGCGATCAACCCATCGGCTATCCCATCTACGTGTCTCCGCTGACCACCTCGTATGCGGACACCAACGCGCAGCTCTGCCAGGTGATCGGTGGAGCCATCACGCTGGACACCATCAGGAACACAGTGCTCGGGTGGTGGCACCGCATCCGAGAGCGATGCCGGCAGGGCTGCAGCTCCGGCTCGGCGCTAGAACATCCGCCGGGACTGGGTCCCGTCCAACTGGGCGCCTGTAACTTCGGCAGTGGCGGCAGCGTCGTCGGCGCTGGATCCACGGCGACCGGAGTGGGTGCCTCGGCGGGATCGGGTCTGGGCGTGGCGGCAGCACCAGGAACGGCCAGCAGCACGGGCGGCGAATCCGGCGACATGGCTCCGGTATTTATATCCGCTCCACTGTACAACACTCTCACCGTAAACAGTTACTACAGCGTCCGCTCCGGCAATGTGCCCGGCGGAGCCATTCCGGCCAACCTGGGCGGTAACTATGTCAGCGACAGCCTGGCGGTGGTCCGCGGCGGGTTGGCGGTGATGCCCGTGAAGCCCACGTCCACCACCCTGATAGCCGGACTGCTAAACAGGGAGCGGGATCAGGAGTCCTCTTCCATTTCGGGAATCTCGGCAGCCGGCGGAGCAAGCGGAGCAGGCATTGGCATGGGAGTGGCAGGAGGTGTGGGTCCGACCAGAGCCACTAGCAGCAGCGGAGTGAGGAGCCGGAGTCAACAGGTGCCGCTGGGGCAGTTGGGCAGCAACCGAGGACGGGACCACGAACGAAGAGCCACGCTTCCGATAGCCAGTGGGGGAACGGGCGGCGGTGATGGGGGAAAGGAGCTGGTGGCACCACAATCCCAGACCGAAAACGAGCCCAGTCCGCGCAGCAACAAGCTCTCCAGCTCGTCCGGCAGCCTGGGCCTGGGCATGGGAGTGAGCATCGGCAACATTATCACCACCCCGGGCGACTATCCACGGAAGACCAAGGGACCCATTTGCCTCACCACCGAGGCGGGCATCAGCATTGGAACGGCAGGAGGAGGAGGATCCGCAGCAAGCAGCGTCAGTAGGAAGCCGCGCATCGACATCCTCAAGAAGGTCATCATAGTGGACGATACAGGGGTAAGTTTTGGAGTCAAGACGGGCCTTCCATTGTGTAATCTTCAATCCTCTGCAGATCTACGACTGCCTGGACATCATCGACGCCGTGGTCTGGCCCAGCGAGCGGATGCGGAACAATGGCGGCCGGCTGTCGTGGAAGGACTGGGAACCGAGTGCCGGCATGGTGGGTAACGTGGTCCACTGCTGGACGCCGAATCACAAGGACAAGCGCTTCCGCTCCCACGTCAACCGCTGTGTGTACCTCGTCGAGATCGGGGACCGCTACGTGCCCGTGGAGGAGCTGGGCCTGCGGGAGTACAACCAGATAATGGGCAGCAACGAGGATCTGGCCAACGCGCGTCTCAGCAGCATCCAGCGCAACTTCCACGAGTACAACAAGTCGCTGAACCTGCCCGAACCCTCAAAGGTCCACCACCACAAGGCCAAGATCCGGGCGGTGAGCAGCAGCAGTTCCGAGGAGGACGAGAAGGACGGCATGGAGGCGACTGACATGACACTTCCCTCCCTGGACCTGATGAACTTCAACACTCTGGTGAGCATGTGGAAGGTCATAGCGGACAAGAACAAGCGGGGCTACGGCGGCGGAGAGTTCGGGGAGCTGGCGCCGGAGCTGCTCCAGAAGCTGGATGAGGCGGCCACTGCACAGATTCAAGCCAATGCCAAGGAGGCCGAAGCTGCCAAGGAGGCGGCAGCTGCCAGGGAGGTGGAAGCTGCCAAGGAGGCGGAAGCTGTCGATGCTGCCCAGGAGGATGAGCCAGAGAAGGAGCTGGAACCAAGACAGGAGTTAGAACAGGAGGCGGAAAAGGAAGAAGGAGAGCCAGTCGAAACTGAAACCGAAACTGAAGTGGACACAGAAACGGAGAGTAAACATGAACCTCAGGATGAGGAGGCGCTGGAGGAGGTCACAGTTACCAGTCCCGAGGAGCAGCCAGTGACGCCTCCGCCTAGTCCGGCGGCTGTGGAGCACAGTACCACCTCAAACTCCACAACCAGTTCGCCATCCCTGAGCCACAAGGAAGACGAGACGGAGGACGAAGAAGAAAGCGAGCCGGAACCGAAGCCAGAGACGGAAAAATGTCCGGAGAACGAAGACAGCGAGACTGGGACGACGGTTTGAAGAGTCCCGGATTAAGAGGATTTGCATTTTTTGCGTTTGCCAAGCAGACGCCAACTTTTAGGATGTGTGCCACACCCGGCAGAAGGACACCACCTTGTTTTTTTTTTTTTACATACATATCAGCAAAGGGCAGGAGGAGGATGAGGACGACTCTGCTCCGGGCTTCCCGACTACAGGATGCATTGTGTGTCCTTTCTGCCAAGGCTAAGTGGGTGTTAAGGCCAAAAGACAACAACAACAACAAGAAGAAGAAGAAGAAACAACCGCAACAAACAACAAATGAGAACACTTCCAAGAAATCAAAGTAATGTTTATAAAACGACTGCGTTTAGTGTATGAATAAATAGGGTTTAGGACAACAAAACAAAAACAAAACAAAAAAAACTACAAAAAAGAAACATATATATATATATATATTATAACATTTTTAGTATTAATGAGAACAGTTATAGATCATACTCAATATATAGGACAAAGAAGAGAGCGCAAATCGAGAGCAGGTTTAAGGAATATATACATATATATATATCTTAAAAGGAAAGCATATATATTAAATATTTAACTAATTGTTGTAACTTGCGATGAAAATGTGTAAAATACGAAATGGAAAACCAAAATGCTTCTCAACATTACCTATTTTGTTCTTTTCCTCTTGCTAGCCAATACAGAAATATTAAGCGAACCTAAAACAAAGAATTTATACAACTCTTATATATAAAATAATATATATATATAACAACTATATGCATACATAAATATGTGTAAACACTAAATAATAATAATAAACTTAAAGTTAGTTTAACATTTAAAGTTAACGATGCCCCCATACATACCAAAATTTGATTGTTAAAGCAACTCCATGCCCATGCTCCCCCAAGGATAATCCATTATTATGAATTAAATTAAAAACCTAAAGGATAAGCCAACCTCGGACAGGATTCAAGTTACAAAATACTTAGATATTATATATACACACACACACACACTTACTCATAAACAGACAAGAAGAAGAACAACAAAAAATTCCTAGGTGTAAGCGAAGTGTAGGTACGGCAAAGGAGTAGGACGTTGTAAGGATGCATGCAGGACGATATGTAAAGCTCTCACGTTGCCTTAATAAATTAGACTGATTTTTTCTACACACCACACACACACACACACAACAAACACACACACTTATAACACAACACAAAAAATACTAATCGCTTTCAGCGATACTTGAACTTCAAAAACTCGATGATTAACAAATTTAAAGAAAGTACATTTAAAATTAAAAATTAGCTAATGGATGGCGGTAATAACGAAATATACTTAGACTAGTGTATATACCTATATAATGTAACTATATATATATGTATACTGTATACTGTACCATCCATATCCGTGGAGGCCCCCAAAAAACAAACAAAAAAAAACCATTTATCGTGTATATAGCGAATCTGAATCCAAAACCGTATCGTATTTAATCAAGGCAGGAATGAAAATCACTTCTTTATAGCCGCATTGCCCAGATCCAAGCCCAAATCCAAACCCAATTAGCCAAATCTCTCGCAAGGACGAACCATGGAAGGGAGAAAATTACAAAAAAAAAAACAAAAAACTAAACTATATATATACATATATATATATATATTGATTATTTCTGTGTACATATACGGATTGTGTATTAAAAAATTATCAAAAAACTTAGATGTTACAAAAAAAAAAAAAAACAAATTTTTATTCCCCTCTCACTCCACTCCAATCCATTTTTTTTTTTAGTTCCATTTAAAACAAATTTCATATTTATATTATACATAAAAAATTATATATATACATATTATATATATATATCAATTAAATAAATAATAAATGAAACTTGTTATACAAAGTTAGGACTGGTTTTTATCGAGTGGGGGCCAGATGGGACTCAGTTCACTCAGAGCGACGTCGTACAGGAGGTTCTGGTACTCTTCCAAGAGGACTACATGCGAAAGAAGAGGATGTCATTAGGATTACAAGATACTAGAAGAACGGACTAGCCCAAACTCACAGTGCGGATCGCTTGCCCACTCATTCTCCAGCCCCTGACGGCTGTGGATCTGCTTGGTGATCAGCGCCCGTTTGAACCGCAGCACCTTGTCGTTTAGACTCGACCAGCTCTTGATCAGAGAGGCGGGCGTCGACTTCAGCTTGCCCTTGAACTCGGTCAGGCGGGGGCACACCTTTCCCTCCAGCAGGAACATGCCAAAGTAGCTGAAGAGTACAGAAGAAAACCAGGAAATCAGTAACCATAAACCACCAGGGTGGGTTGTTAACAAGACTCACCAGCAGGCCTTCTCGCTTAGTGGCATCTCCACCTCGCCCAGCGGCAGATCCCACCCAGCTCGTCCAAATGTGGCATCCACATAGCAGTAGATCCGACCAGATGCCTCATCATACCTAGGAGCCGGATCCTCGCGCACTTCCCGGATATTGCACAGCAGCGGCACATACAGGAGCAGCCACTCCGGTTCGATGGCAGTGATGCCGCGTATAAACATCTTAGTGGAATCGCCGTTCTGTAGCTCATACGCCTCCTGGTAGACAACCCATTCGGGGCACTTCTGGCGCAACACGGATGAGACATGCAGGAAGGCCGGCTCCTCCATGTCGGCGCAATGGTAGGCGTACTTGAGGCGTCGTTTCTCCTCCTTGTCGGCGATCTCGGCCAGCGGCACCTTGCGGGCCACCCGGTCGCCCATGCCGGCCAGCAGGATCTGACGCAGGAAGCGGGCCTGGGCATCTGTGGGCGGCTTCATGCCGGGATCAACGCCCAGGTTCACGTCGCTAATATTCAGATTGATCTCGTTGGTGAGCTGGACGCGAAGCTTGCGCACTTCACTGACGGCCTTGGGCCGGAGACCGTTGGTCGTACAGAACTCCGCGAGACGTCCCTGAGATCCGGCATATTCCGCTGCTCCGACGGCACGTAGCAGGACCATCGGATCCCCGAGTAGCTGATAGTTGCCGGAGGAAGCCCAGCTCTGTCGTTTCTGGTGGAAGCGATTCGCTCCCGGCGCCACATCCTCTTCCCGCTGGACACCCGTTTCGATGAGCACCTCCTGGACAGACAGGGCGGCCACCAGGCACACCGTATACGGCAACAGATTCTGCTGGTGGGAGAGGGCGAGCATTTTGCCGAAACGGGGTGCAACGGGAAATCTTGATATAACTTTGCCCAGTCGCGTCACCTCCGGCGGCAGATCCTTTTTCGAATCGCTGGAGCTGGATGGCGGCGCCTCTAGAGCCCCCAGCACCGTGAGCCTCTGCTCGGCGGCCTCCAGCTGCACCTGGTCCGGCGGCGAGGGAAAGGGGAAGTGAACAACGCGGTCGATGCCCATGCATCGCATCTGGAGCATGAGATCATCTACGGGCTTCTGCTGAATATCCGGCTGGGAGAAGGCTTCGAAGCTGTCGTTGTAGATGGCACTGGAGTACAAACGATAGCAGTGTCCGGCGCTGATACGACCAGCTCGGCCGGCTCGCTGATCCGCCGAGGCTTTGGAGGTGTAGGTGACCACAAAGGCGCTCACGCCCGTCAGTTTGTCGTACAGACGCGTCTTTTGGCGGCCACTGTCCACCACGTACTTGATGTGCGGAATGGTCAGCGAGGTCTCGGCCACATTGGTGCTCACCACGCAGAGGCGACAGCCCTCGGGAACGGGCTGGAAGATGCGGTTCTGCTTCTCGGACGACAGCAACGAGTACAGTGGCAAAACCCACAAGGGTTGTCTCTGTCCGGAGCTATTCGTTTCTCCATCTACATTCATGTCCTCTTCATCCTCTTCGTCGTCCAGTTCCAGCTCCTTCTCCTCATCCTCCTCCTGTTCATGCATATCCGCTTCGGTGTCGTCGCCAGGCAGCTTGTAGTCATCCAGGTTGATCTTAGGCAGGGATATCTGCGACAGGAACTTCTTCTTCGTCTTGCGTATGTTACGGATGGCTCGCTTCATGTCAAACTCCTGCTCTTTGGGATCCTCCGCCAGATCGTCAGCCTTGGCTTCCTTCTTTTCCGCCTCCTCTGGCTTTTCGTTCTTCTCCGTCTCTCCTGGCTTATCATCTTTCACGGGCCGATACGGAAAAGTGCGACGCAGCTTTCTAACCAGTTGGTTCACCTCCTGCTGGCCAGTCACAAATATGAGAATGCCGCCCTCCGGCAGTTGGTTGTGAATCTTCACAGTCTTCTTATAAGCTTCGGCCACGTAATCGTCCGGCGTGCGCTTCTGGAAGTGGATGGTCACCGGGAACTGACGTGCCTCCACCTTTAGCAGGGGCGGCGGAACCTTGAACAGACGCTCGTTCTTCGTAAAGTCAGTGACTCTCAGCGTGGCGGACATAATGATGAGCTTCAGGGGCTGACCACGTTTGTGCCGCAAGGGAACGATCCGCGACAACAGGCCCACCAGGATGTCCGTGTAGACACTGCGCTCGTGCGCCTCGTCCAGGATTATAACAGCGTATTTACTGAGCAGGAAGTCCGTCTCGATCTCCTTCAACAGGACACCGTCCGTCATGAACTTGATCTTGGTGGCCGGCGTGACATTTCCCTCGAAACGTATCAGGTAAGACACTTCGCTCTCCGGCAGATTCATCTCGTGGGCGACACGCTTCGACATGGCAATGGCGGCCACTCGGCGCGGTTCCGTTACACCGATCATCTTGTGCTGGGCATAGCCGGCCTCGTAGAGGAACTGCGGCAGCTGGGTGGTTTTGCCAGAGCCCGTTTCACCAGCCACAATCACAATGGGATTCTCGTTGATGGTCTCCATAACTTGTTGCTCCTCGGCCAGGATGGGCAGCCGAAGACGGGCTTCCTGGACCTCTGCCGAGCGGTGGACAGGAACGTAAACTGTTTGGTGGGTGCAGACCGGAGCAGGAGCCTCGGGTTTGGGCTTCTCTTTCACTGGCTTGGCTGGGATTTTCGGAGGAGCAGTCTGGACAGGCGTAGGAATAGGAGCGGGAATGGGTGGAGGAGGACTGGACTCTTCGTCATCGTCACTGGAGTCCTCTTCGTCGTCCTCCTCCTCTAAACTAACTATATTCGGGTTTCGGCGCTTCGCCTCCAGTTCCGCCTGCTCCTCGTCGAGAAGCTTCCGCTTTGAGCCTTTGATGGCATTCACTCGTCTGTTGCCAGTGGCATTCTCCGCCTGCACTTGGGCCTGACGTTCCTTCTTCTTGGCCAGATACTCGTCCAAAGTAGGCAGCCGTTTCAGGCCCACTGTTTGCACCTGACTAATGGATGTGTATTGCTGGAGCTCTGCCTCTGGGATTTGTACGGCTGCCAGGTCGCCCAAGAGTTGTGCACGCTGAAAGAAGAAGTCCATGTGAAAACCAATAAACAGTAATCCTTTGAAGAAAAACTTACGCCCTCCTTCTTCTTCTTTCTGTCAACAATAGTTTGCAGGTGTTTCCGTTGCTTCTTGGTGAGAATCTTCACGTGCTGCTGTTTGTCCACCTTGATCTTGGTTGCCCGCTTCTGGGAGGGCAGCACCAAAGCGTTAGCTTCATCGTAGCCTGTTTGGCTCCCTCCAGCCACTGCATCCACATCGATTTGAATCTGAAAGGGTTGGCGGCAAATTAGTCTCTATTGGTAATTATATGTTAACGACCGAACAAACACCTTTTTCACTGCCGAGTTGTCGACAATTGTCTCTGGGTTTTGCCGCGCTTTGGCATTGTGCACTTTTTTGCCCATTGTTGCTGTTTATTCCATTCAAAACAAACCAAAACACACGTGCAGTCCTCTAGTGGTGATGAAACACATATAAAAACATCGGTAACATCGTTTAATTTCGAAATATCGATAAGCAAATACTTCACCACACTTCACATTCGTCAGCCGCGCGAGAATGACTGGCCGTTAGGGATGGACAACACTGATAAGGATGACACTTTCCATTAGTGATGACACTATTGGCTAGTGGTGACAGTTTTGGTTATTGATGACATTTCTTGTTAGTGGTGGCATTTCTGGTTAGTGATGACATTTTTGGTTAGTGATGGAGCTTTTAGTTAGTGATGACATTTTTGGTTAGTGATGGAGCTTTTAGTTAGTGATGACATTTTTGGCTAGTGATGAAGCTTTTAGTTAGTGATGACACGCAACAGGTGATAAGGTCTAAAATATCGATAGGCAGGCACATAGAAAAATACTAAATACTAATATGAACTAAATATACTAAACCTGCAGCCGCCTTCCACGGGCCGATAACCGATGCCTATGTTTTTATTTGGCCATCCCTGCGCGCATTATTTACTTTGCTAAATAGACAAAAACTTCAATATTTAAAGCCTAAACACACAGCCAGCAGCGATGGACCGGCCACAGAAGATGCCCAAGGTGGCCAAGGTAAGCTTAGACCAGGTCCAGGTGTATTATTGGTTCGAATAGTTACTAATTTCACAATGCGACTTCTAGGTGAAAAACAAGGCGCCTGCGGAGGTGCAGATTACGGCGGAACAGCTGCTCCGTGAAGCCAAGGAGCGCGACTTGGAGATCCTGCCGCCGCCACCCAAGCAAAAGATCTCCGATCCCGCCGAGCTAGCAGACTACCAACAGCGAAAGCGTAAGACCTTCGAGGACAATCTCCGCAAGAATCGCATGGTGGTCAGCCACTGGATCAAATATGCCCAATGGGAAGAGCAACAGCAGGAAATTCAGCGGGCACGTTCTATTTGGGAGCGTGCTCTGGACAACGAGCACCGCAATGTGACGCTCTGGCTGAAGTACGCCGAGATGGAAATGAAGAACAAACAGGTCAATCATGCCCGCAATCTGTGGGACCGGGCTGTGACCATTATGCCGAGGGTGAATCAGTTCTGGTACAAGTACACCTACATGGAGGAGATGCTGGAGAACGTGGCCGGAGCACGGCAGGTGTTCGAGCGCTGGATGGAGTGGCAGCCGGAGGAGCAAGCCTGGCAGACATACGTCAACTTCGAGCTGCGCTACAAGGAGATCGATCGGGCCCGCGAGGTCTACGAGCGGTTCGTCTACGTGCATCCGGATGTCAAGAACTGGATCAAGTTCGCCAGCTTCGAGGAGACGCACGGCTTCATTCACGGCGCTCGTCGTGTCTACGAGCGGGCCATAGAGTTCTTTGGGGACGAGTACATCGAGGAGCGTCTGTTCATCGCCTTTGCCCGCTTCGAGGAGGGCCAGAAGGAGCACGACCGGGCGCGCGTCATCTACAAGTATGCCCTGGATCACTTGCCCAAGGAGCGGACACAGGACTTGTTCAAGGCCTATACCGTACACGAGAAGAAGTACGGTGATCGTGCCGGCATCGAGGATGTTATTGTGTCCAAGAGGAGGTACCAGTACGAACAGGAGGTGACCGCCGATCCCACCAACTACGACGCCTGGTTCGACTATCTGCGCCTAATCGAAGGCGAGGGCGACGTCGATCAGATCCGGGAGACGTACGAGCGGGCCATATCCAACGTCCCGCCGGCCAACGAGAAGAACTTCTGGCGCCGCTACATCTACCTGTGGATCAACTACGCCCTGTACGAGGAACTGGAGGCGGAGGATCCGGAACGGACGCGTCAGATATATAAGACCTGCCTGGAGCTGATACCGCACAAACAGTTCACTTTCAGCAAGGTGTGGCTGCTCTACGCCCAGTTCGAGATCCGCTGCAAGGAGCTGCAGCGCGCCAGGAAGGTACTGGGCATGGCCATCGGCATGTGTCCGCGGGACAAGCTCTTCCGCGGCTACATCGAACTGGAGATCCAGTTGCGTGAGTTCGAGCGCTGTCGGCTGCTCTACGAGAAGTTCCTGGAGTTCGGGCCGGAGAACTGCATCACGTGGATGAAGTTCGCCGAGCTGGAGAACCTGCTGGGCGACACGGAGCGGGCACGGGCCATTTACGAGCTGGCGATGCAGCAGCCGCGCCTGGACATGCCGGAGCTGCTGTGGAAGGCGTTCATTGACTTTGAGGTGGCTCTGGGAGAAACGGAACTGGCTCGCCAGCTGTACGAACGCCTCCTGGAGCGCACCCAGCACGTGAAGGTGTGGATATCGTATGCCAAGTTCGAGATGGGACTGAAACATGGCGACGGCAGTGGTCAGGATGCGGATTTGAATAACAGGCTGGCCAGGCGTATCTACGAGCGAGCCAATGAATATCTACGCCAGATGGACGATAAGGAGTCGCGAGTCATGCTCCTGGATGCGTGGCGGGACTTTGAACGGAACTGCGGCGACAACCGGTCGCTGCAGAAGGTCCTCGACAAGATGCCGCGTCGCATCAAGAAGCGGCAGAAGATCATTTCCGATGAGGGCGTCCACGAGGGCTGGGAGGAGGTCTTCGACTACATATTCCCCGAGGACGAAATGGCCCGACCCAATCTCAAGCTGCTGGCCGCCGCCAAGATGTGGAAAAAGCAGACTGTTACCGACGACCAGGAACCGGAACCCGCCACAGCAGACAGCTGAGGAGATTCCCATTTTATTTTATAATTGTGTATGAAGGAGCCGCCAGGATATATAACTTTGTAATAAAAATAATGACTACTGTAACCAGAGATGTTGCTTTTATTGGCCAGGATAATTACTTAGCCCGCAGGAGGAGCGTAAAGGCGGAGTAAGTGAACCGCATGAGCTGCCATGGAAGGGGATCTTTTAGAATACAGATTCTACCTAAAGCCACCAACTCACCTGCTCAAAGGTCTCCAGGGACAAGGGTATGTAGCCGCCGGCGTAGATCAGAGACGGCTTCTGGGTTCTGGCCAGAGTGAAGATGAGATCCCGCTTGAAGACGGGCAGCTGGTCCACCCAGTTGCAGGCATAGAAGCCATCGCAGAGAGCCTCGCTCTGCGTTCGCATCCGCTCCCCAAAGTAGCAAATGATGAAGACCTCCAGGGTGACGGCCACAAAGAACACTATCGACAGGATCATGGCGGACAGATCGTTGTCGTCCACCACGTAGAGGAAGTGCATCGCCACGGTGCACTGGACGGCGGCGGAGCAGGCGAACTGCGCCATACAGGCCACCGACAGGATGCGCTGGATGATGTTCTTTAGCTGGTGGACCAGCATCAGGTCCCGGATGCAGTCGAGCAGCTCCTCGTGCGTGGAATTCAACCTTCCCCTCCCATAACCGATCCGCCGCACCCGTAACTCCAGGGCCCGCATGTGGCCCGTCAGCAGGCAAAGGTATGCCGGCGGATACGAGTCACTGGCGCAGTTCTGGACCGCCTGGACGACCAAACCAAAGAGCTGGTAGGCATAACAGATCACATACGCCCGCCAAGAGTTCTCCCAGTTGACACCGAACCAGGCCGGGTAGAGGAGCTGCCGCTTCGAGGAGATGGCCACTCGGATGCAACTGAGGATGGTGCCGAAGGTGAAGATCCGGGCAAAGTACTGAAAGCCCTTCTGGGCGATCGTCACGGCCTCGTTCAAGGCGGCCAGCTCCTCCGGATGATGGATTTGGCGCGCCCGTTCGTCCAGGTGCTTCAGCAGGGAGCGAATCTCGTGGAGCTGCCGTCGCACCAGAAACACATTGAGGAACTTAAGGTTCGCCACGATGTCCGTGATGGTGATGGTCAGATTCTCGCACATGTTCTGCATGTTGTGGGTGAAGAACAGCCGGGCCACGAGGCTCAGGGGGAACAGGATGGTGACCGAAGCGTTGATCACCAAAGAGTAGATGAAATACCAAAACCGGGAGATTCCCGTGGGCTGCATCAGTCCGGTGAGCTCCCACACACGCCAGTGGTAGCGCACGGCCCTGTGGGTGTCCAGGTGCAGTTCCTTCATGATGCTTTGTGGGCTCTGGGCCGTTTCAGCTATAGGCCTTTATAGGCCTTGCCATGATTATGATTGCCCTATTACCTGACCAAGTTGGCACAACTTTTGGCTAATAACCTGGGAAACCCCGCCATGTCACCAGAAGGATAATCACCACATTTCCAGTTGTTTGGTAATCTCTCTCTTTATTCTGCGGAATTTATTATTGGATGGGGGATGGATGGATGTATGGATGGATGGATGGATGGGGTAAAATGGGACTATTTATATATATGTACCATGGGATGGAGCCCTAACAGCACCTGACAAGTAGGACTCAAGTGCCACATTGGCAAGGGAACTCTTATTATTTGGCTATCCCTAAACTTTAAAGGAGTTTCTAGAATTTTAGCTACTTCGAGGACTTGTACTCCGATCCATCATTAGCTTAAAATCTAAATGATCTATTAACTAACGCTTATGTGGGGATTAGATTCATTTATTTGGTTACTTGTCAGGTGAAGGATTGGGTAGGTTTTGAGGAGGGAAACAAATCCGTAGAGGCACACCATCGAGAACACGTTCACAGAGTGATCTTAACTTGTAGTTTTTAAGAATTAATTTAAAAATACAATCAAGTTGTGTTTTAATCCAAAAAGGCTTTCAAATTTAAAGTTAATTCATATACCTAAGTATATATATTTTTTGAGTTTTTTTTTCTCTTTTTTTTTCTTTTTATAAATAATAACTATTTCATAATAAACTTTGTGTACACAATGATATATATATAAATGTATATATTGCTGCTGAAATCAGCTTTAGAAAATTTTTCAAAAAAATTAACTTTAACGATTTTCGAACATAATGATGAAACGGTTACAGAAACAGTTACAATTACAATTACAGTTACAGTTACAACTACAGTTAGAGGACAATATACTCTACGTTACAACAAAAGTCATATTAGAAATATATAATCAGATCCTGATCCATCAACATTCTCATTCATTATTATAGTTAGTTTTAGGTTTTCGATCTCATTATCACTATGTTGGATCATAATCATTATTATTATTATTATCATTATTATTATTATTATTATTCCCATATCGGGGGATCAATCGAAAGCAAATGATTTATTTAATTTATTTAATTATTTTAGGCAGGCTGTGTGTGTGGTGTGTTTACGGGTTTGTAAGCTCAGTTCTACGAGTCTCAGACATCTCTGATCTGATCAAGGTTCTTTGTTGTATATATATATATAGATCTTCTCTCCCTCCTCTATATACATATATGGCTTGTATCTCTAGGGGGGTCTGTCTGGGTGGCGATCTGATATCTTCTTTTGGTTACGTTTTGGTCTGCCTAGGGACTTGAAATAGTTGCATCTTTGGCGTCGCCCTGATTTGGATTTGGTTTCGGATTCGTATTCGGATTTGAATTTGCATTTTTGTCATTATCTTTGTCTGACTTGGCATCCTGCAAAAGAAATACGATATTTTCCAAAAGGAATTTACAAAAAAATATTTCAATTACAATTTAAGTTTAAGTTTTCTTAATAGATTTCAATCTCTAGGGCCTGTTCTGGTTTTTTTATTTTTATTTACAGTTTCGTCTCTAATTAATTATAGTAAGCAAGCTGTTAATGATTCTTAAGGAAATTATTTAAAAACAGGAGCAGGCCTTAATAGTTAATGTATCCAAAATAAAACATTCAAACGATGGTTTATATTTACAATGATGACTCATTACTCTCAGAATGCCATCCACTCGCGCTAGATTTTTACTCGAATATTCTCTACAGGATTGTCTCTTTTGCTGGCCAAGTTTGGCAAAAAGCTGACCCCCGGCCTCAGCCTGCTGCACCGTCCGGTCATGTGCCCTCGGACCATGTGCAGCAGCCTGCTGCTCACTACCCACACATCATCCCAACACACAAAACTAAGGGAGGACATAACAGTTCGCAGCTGGATAGATTCTACCAGATGTCGCCTAGTGGATGTATCATGGTCATGGACAAGCACTAGGAGGTGAGTAAGGAGATGGAGGATTCGGGGGTGTCTGCTATGCTCACCTTGGCCGCCTTTACGCTGGCCGCCTCCTGCTTCAGATACTCCTCCCGGGCGGCCTCGTACTTGGTCACAAACTTGTCCCGCTGCACCCGGAACTGGGCAAACAGCTCGTCGTCCTTGTGCCCCTTCAGGCGGTTCTCGATGTCCAGCTTCTTGGCGTGCTCTGACCGTATCTCGTCCGTCACCCACGGCTTGTCGATGGGATACTGGTTGATCAGGTGCTTCAGGGTCTTGATGGTGCTCTTGCCCTTGATGCCCTGCTTGATTAGATTGGGATTCGGCTTTTTGATGCGGCCGCCGTTCATGTTCATGCCCGGCCCGCCGAAGGGGCCGCACGGCGGCGGACCACGGGGCGGCATTCTCATTCCCATCATGTGCATGGGCGGACCGCCCATCATTGGTCCCGGACAGGGACCATTGCGGGCCATAAAGTGGGGCGGCGGTATCGGCGGTCCACCCATGCGGGGCCCACCCATGGGACCGCGTATCCGCATGCCCGGCTGGAACGGCGGCATTGGCGGAAACGGCGGCATGGGCCCGGCGCCACGTGGTCCTGGCCCGCCGGGACCCATGGGTCCGCCAGGTCCCATTGGACCAGGACCCATTGGCGGCATCATGGGGCGTGGCCCGCGTAAGAACCCATTGAAACCACCGCGAGTCTGTATGGGATTAGGATAACGCTGCCAATCGCCTCCGTTGTGCCCGTTCATTTGGTTATTGTATCCTTGCTGCTTGTTGGTGTTGTTGTTATTGTTACCCTGCTGCTGCTGTTGCTGCTTGTTGCTGCCCTTCATTTGCTTCTTTTTACCCTGATCTTCGTAATTCCCCTGGTTCCCGCCACCGCCTCCACCACCACCCGACGAGGGACTGTTAAAGTCGATGTAGAGCGGATCGCTGGGCATTTGGCAGGAGGAGTAGATGTCGTCGCTGGCGGAATTCGGACCATGTCCGCCGTTGCCACCATTTCCGTTGTGACCATTATTTTTGTTCCCCTGCCGGAAGGGTTTCCGATACGGCGCTGCCGCGGCACGAGCATTGTTGATATTATTATTGTGGCCATTGCCATTATTATTAAGATTATTATTAGGACGATTCTGTTGAAACTGTTGCTGGTGCGGATACTGTTGTTGTTGCTGTTGGTGGTGGTGGTGGTGCTGCTGCTGCTGCGGATACTGAACCTGCTGGTTCGGATACTGCATCTGCATCTGTTGCTGCTGCATGTTCCGGTTCTGCTGAAATTGATTTTTGGGCACCATTATTCATTCAAAGACACCAGCTGCGGCGTTCTAGATATATGCTAACGACTGTCAACGCTCTGAACTATTCAGTTATGATATAAATAACACTTAACAAACAAAAAAATGACAAGATTTCCGACGACAAAAAAAAAATTGGTTACGATTCTATTCTGATAGTGATGGAACAAAACCGATCAGCAGATATCAATTTTCCGACATGTTATCGACAGGAAGCGACGATTTAGAACATTATCGATATTTTTAGAACAAGTATGTGGCTAATGGAAATTTTAAAAATTCCACATAAAAAAAGCTTGAATCTAGCTAAGAGGATAATAATAAAAAGAAAACACTATCATTTTGTTGTCATGTTTTTTATTATTATTTAATTGATTGCTAAATTTATTTATTTTTAGTTCCAATAAATAGTCACAATATACATTTTGTTAATGAGAAGAAATGCCTCAGGAACCATTTTAATACACTTAGGCACAATTTACAAAATCTATAAATATACATACAAAAAAAAAACCAAAAAAAAAAATTTTTTTAACAAAACCAATCAACTATTTAGTCCCCAAAATTTCACATAATTATTATCTCAATTATTTGAAAAATCTCCACGAGCCGCCGTTACGCTTCTCGGTCTTCTCCACCAGCCAATGTTTGGGATTCATCAGATAATCACTGGAACGACACAATGAGGCATTACTAAGTGGGCCACCGTTTAGAGGGCCAATACCCACCGGTGATCCAACAAGGTCTTCTGGGTTTGGGTTCGCAGGTCAGCCAGTGAACCTGCCCCTCCGCCGTACTCCTCCGGCAGCATCTGGCGGGGAACGAACTCATACAGGGAATCCATGCTAACGGTGTGGAAACGGATCTGAATACGATATAAAGGAATATTAGTTAATAGGTGTTAGACTATTGGACCTTTCCTCTCCAGACTCACCAGTTTAAAAACCTCGTCGCTTATGAAAGGCTTCACCACACTGACGATCCGGTCCAGATAGGTGGGACAATTCACCATATGGATGGCCCGGAGACGCACTGGGAAGGCCAGTTGCAGAAACTTGATGTAGGCCCTCAAGGTGCTGATGGTCAGACGTGAGATGTGTCGCATGGTGGTGCCCTTCATGTCGAAGATCTGCACCTCACCCTCGGATAGGACATCTGGATCATTCGGGTCATCCGGAGTCACAAAGCGACAGTCGGTGACCATGAAAAAGGCCCGCGTATCCTCCGTGTGGTGCATCTTGTAAGGATCAAAGTCCCTAAAACAGTACAGGGACACCTTGTACTTCTCTGGGGTCAGCCCAGGCAGAGGCAGAATATCCCTGAAGGACGAATATTAAAGGTTTTTTTAAATTTTTGTAGAAAATACTTACGCATATTCGAAGGTCCGTCGGCTGTCATCGTCCTGGGGATCCCTTTGGATAAACAGATGGGGATGTTTGTTACGCAGCGCATAGTTGACTTCAATGAGCTTCTTGGTTTCCTCCACATCGCCGTACATGCATTGGTAGAAACGTCTCAGCAAGAGGGGTTCTATAAAAATGAGGCACACATTATAAATAGAATCGTTTTATTTATAAATTTTGATCATCGGAAGACAACGACCCCTTGAAATGGCTATATCACAGCCGAAACCTATTCGATTCTTCAGCGGAGTACCCTTATAAACTCGTAGATCTATTCTCTTTAAATCTGCATCAAAATATAGAAACAAAATTTTGGACCCCATTTTTTCAAATTTTTCTAGCGGACCCCCTGCAAAAATCGGAAAATCGTGGGGAGTGAAATTTTGACCCATTGCGGAGGTCATATCTTGGTCAATATTTGTCCGATTCTTGAGCGGGGTACCTCAAAAGACTCGTAGATCTATTCTCTTTAAACCTGCATCGAAATATAGAAACCAAATTTTGGACCCCATTTTTTCAAATTTTTCCAGGGGACCCCCTTCAAAAATCGGAAAATCGTGGGGAGTGAAATTTTGACCCATTGCGGAGGTCATATCTTGGTCAATATTTGTCCGATTTTCAAGCGGGGTACCTTAAAAGACTCGTAGATCTATTCTCTTTAAACCTGCATCAAAATATAGAAACAAAATTTTGGACCCCATTTTTTCAAATTTTTCCAGGGGACCCCCTTCAAAAATCCCCCTTCAGAAATTTTGACCCATTGCGGAGGTCATATCTTGGTCAATATTTGTCCGATTCTTAAGCAGGGTACTTTAAAAGACTCGTAGATCTACTCTCTTTAAATCTGGGGTCCCTTCAAAAATCGGAAAATCGTGGGGAGTGAAATTTTGACCCATTGCGGAGGTCATATCTTGGTCAATATTTGTCCGATTCTTACCCAAAATGACTTGAATGATTCGTAGATAAATTCACTATGAACTTGGATATGTGTCCCTATATTTTTATCGTTAACAGAATAGCTTGGTACGAGTCATAAATTCGGTTCTGTGTAGAAATTGGCAATTGTTTGTTTACAAACCAAACGACAATGACGTAACGCGGGGGGCCAATACCAAATGGCCCGAACAGCACCGGCGGCCTACTAACGACCTCATTACCAAGAGTGGGCGGTGGGTGGTAGGTGCCGGACTGGGTGGTGGCGGTGGGGGGAAACGGATGTGACGGGGATGGCCGAAGGGTAAGGCCATATGTGCTTGGCTCACCTATTTCCTGGGGAAGCTTGTCGTTGGCCTGGAACCAGGTGAGCAGTTCCCCCAGATTGCTCTTCAGCCGCTGGGAGTCCGCCGCTGTGCCGCCTCCGTTCGCCGTCTGCTCTGCGGTGACCGTCGATGTCTTCTTCCCGCCCGCTCCGCTCATGGATGCGATTGGTTATCGATTGTTGGATGCGACAGTGTAATCGGCAAGTCTATCGACTTGGGGGAATCACTTTCAAAAATTCAAATTCAAAAGTTTTGAAAAGTAAATATTTTTTTTTGAGAGTCCTTTGAGTTAACTGTTGGATGTGAACCGTTGGGGTTGAAGCCTGTCGAACGACTGACTGGCCATCGATTGGGATTGTGTGGTTAATTTTTCATATTTTTCGATGGGGGCTTTGAATATTTAATGTTTACTTCGCTGTCTGTCTGCGATTAAAAACACGTAATTCATAATTGCTTTTTGGCTGTCGTTTGGGAAGAGCTTAATAGTGCCTAAATATGTTCGGGCCCAGCTTCTGGATCTGTCTAATAGCCTAGTCGTGCGCCGAATCCAAATAAATCCAAAATCTATATACACTTCTACCCTGTGTCCTAGTAAAGTAGCTCATTAAAATAATAAGAAATTGATTTTTATTACAATTTAAAAAAATAAAACATTCATATTGACAGTTAGCACTTATTGGGTTCTACGAAAAAAAAAAAATATGTGAGACTGAAAACTATTTTTCCAGGCCCAATAAATACTATCTATAAGATCCCCTTGTATACTTTTTAAAATTCTTTTTGGTTTTGCTAAATATTTTAGAAAGAAATTCGAACCGAAAACCTAAAAGCGATTTGTTGAATATCACACTTTTTGGAAAATAAATTCAAAACCAACTCCAGCGACTCTTTCCCTGAGAAGCTACATTCCAGTAACGATCATCTGTTAGATAGGCACTAGAAAATATATAATCTATATAACTACTTAGTATTATATATTATATATCCGAAGCTTACCGCTGATCCCTCATCATCTGAATGTTTCTTTCCTTGAGCTCGGCAATGGTTCCGGCCTTCCCGCCATACTCATTCGGTAACATATCCCTGGGTACCTCTTTATAAAGACTCTCCAGACCCTCTGTATGGTATTTGATCTGAAAAGTAGAATATTTATTTAATAAAATCTTGAAAAATATGGGTAATAATACTTACCAATTTGCGAACTTCTTCTCTGAGAAAGGGCGACATCATGGAAATCAATCGATCCAAGTATGTGGGACAGTTGATGACGTGCATCGTCTTCAAGCGACTTGGATAGGCCTCCTGCAGGAACTTCATATGGATCCTCAGAACAAAGATAGATACATAGGCCAAGTGCCTTAAGGTATAACCCTCGATATCCACAATCTGTATATCCCCATCGGCTATATCCGATTCATTCAGTTGGTAGTCCTCGTCCTTTGGCTTTTCCACGTCCGGCAACGTGAATCGGGCATCGCTCATCATGTAAAAGATCTTGGTCTCCTCGACGGAATTGCGCTAAAAGTATTTTGTATGATGTATATCTTTTGAGAGGATTTATATTCAATAAACCCCACCGCATTGGGTTCCATGTCGACCATACGAAAGAAGAGTAGTTTATTACCCTCGGGCGTTAATCCGGGCAAGACTAGGAGATCTCTGTGGAATATGGACTATATTGTTGGGTTTTTAACAAGTATATCTTTTACTTACGATGCCCTTAGACACTTGGCTGTCATATCGTCTTCTATGCTGCGATCTATAAACAGATGTGGATTCTTATTCCTGAGACTATAGTTGAGTTCCACCAGAGATTTGACTTTTTCAACATTATAGGCCATGCACTTCATAAAGCGAAGCATTACAATGGGTTCTAAAATGAAATATATTTAATATACATATATACCTTGATCTTGGGTTAATGTTTAAGCCATAAACTGGATGAGGAAGTAACTTGGCCTTCATCATATATCAGGTTTATTGCGCGCCCATTTATTTTCAGTCCCAACACTTGACTGATTATTAATCGAAGCGAAACTATAGTATCTCTAGATGTCTAGAGGGGTCTAGACATTAGAGGTCTAGCTAGGTCTTTGTCTTTGCTTACCTATTTTCTCTGGAAGATTGGGATTGGACTCGAACCAGGCGATTAGCTCTTTCAGTTGACCGCTCCTCGAAGTGGCGACTTCGTCACCCCTGCTACGGGCTTCACCCAAATCCGTGTCTGTCTCCATGGAAGCCGCTCGGAAAACTGATCACCAAACTAACTAACTGGCAAAGTAACTAACTAGCCGGTTAACTAGCTAAGTGCCTCTAAGCAATTGATAAAGCGACTGAGACTGAGACACACATATGTACACAATGGGGGTCGTAAAATGTACATACACCCATAGGGCTCTATGTTCACGCTCCGATCGGTGAGAGAATAAAAGCTTTACTTTTTTTTTTTTTTATGAAAAGCTCACAAATAGATCCAGTGGGTTGCAATTAAGCCGACTCAGTGCCAGAGTGATTTTTAATTGCTATATTAGAAATGATGATTTTAGAAAAAAAGAAAGGTTTATACTTGAGATCAAGTCGAATATGAGATACACTTTTCAAATAGAGAGAAGAAGAGAATATTCATATTTTTTAAATGGTATTTTTGAAATCTTTATTAAATTTGAATCTGGAGCTGGAAACCTATAATGCATACAATATAATATACAATATACATCCAAACATGTAGAACTCGATTGTGGAAACTCGTTTTTGTGATTTTTGTTTTTGCGTGTTTTTGTTTAATTCATTTTTAATATCCAGTATTCAATATGCATGCAGATCGGTGATACAAAAAAAAAAAAATATACATATTAATATACATATATATTTATTTGTATATATTCTATATATATATGAATGTACGATCTATGAAAATCGCCTGCGTAGCTGTCAACGGTTTCATTATTTTTTTTTGAAAAATGTTTAATCTCAAAATTTTTTAAAATGTTAACATTGTTCTTAGATCCTAATACCTTAGGATTTCACCTTGTTATCATAACAGTTTTGTGTGTTTAGCTTTATTATTTATATTTATCTGTGATCTGTAATATATGTATGTATCTGTCTGTGATTGGAATCTGTGGATCTGGCCAAAAGAAATAATGGGACAAATAACACCAATAATCATACGAATACAAACATCGATTCTGGACTGGTTTTTGAGATTGAAATACATCTACGATAGAAGTTAGTTTCTTAGGAAAACCACTGCCGATGGCACAAAAGTCATACATATGTGGTATATAGTATGCAGATACATCAATTGATATCGTCTCGATCTCGATCTCGATCCCGATCTCTAGATCTCGGATATATGAATATATGTATAATATAACGCTCTATATGCTACTTGTTTATTGTAGAGAGTAATCCCCATAAAGCTCTCTCTCTCTCTCTGTCTCTATCTATCTATATCATTTTTGTCGATCTGTTTTGTTCTCTATTTGATAGATATATATATAGTATATATATAAGTAGGTTTACAGACATGGAACAACATTACTGGCACTGGCAAATGCTACAATTGGAATGCACATATCGGATGGGAGAACCGAAACCGAAACGTACGGATCCCCTCTTTATAAGTATAGGTATTAATAAATCAATCTTATGATTCTAGTCTTAGAAATCTAACTAAAAACCTAGGCCTCTCTATCGAAAGCAAAGGGACTGAGCCTTACCAAAGGATACAACTTTGAGAGATCTCCAAAAACCATTGTAGAATTATAATTGCATTATAATCGTATATAGATGATAGAGGTGGTATACTCTCTAGAACCTTCGCAACCTTGGTAATCCTCAGCCCCCCACCTCCGATGGGGTGGTAATACTGAAGTGTAGCTTCACTAGCTTCTTTTTGACTTTTGTCTCTCGATCTGTATCTCGAATACTGACGGGTTTCCCTCCATTTCCCTCATCCGGGTCTTGGGTCTGCCACTCTAACCAGAGTGGCCATTGAATCTGACGATGCTTCTGCTCCGTGCTCCGATTCCGCCGGAATCACATGGTGTGCGTCCGGGCAACGGTGCCCCGTCGCAGGCGTCGGGACTAGCTGAAGATGCTGCGTCATAAGCTGATGAGCGTCGCCTTGCGCTGCGCCTCCAGCCGGATCTCCAGCGTGGCATACGGCGGAACACTGATCACGAGCAGCACCACCAGTGCTATGATCTTCACCGATTCGCAGAGGAAGCCATGCCCGGCAAAGGTCAGTCCGAGACCCAGGAATCGGAGTCCCTGCAGCGGGGCGGAGACTTCGGCCACGTTCCCGGCATGGTTGAGGGTCACCAGCGACAGGATCAGGGTCTCCCACATTCCGTTGCAGGCTCCCCACGAGGCGGCAATCACGTAGAAGAGGGCACTGTCGTCGCTCGATGGCTTCCAGCTGGAGAGGGCCAAGAGCAGGCAGGAGTGGAAGAAGAAGCCGGCCACTGGAAAGGATATTCTTTGAGTGAGAAACTCACCAACTGGAGGGCAGACAGGGAGGAGGACACTAGGGATAAACATACTTACAAATCACAACTATCCGCTTGACGTGACGGAGCAGCATGCTGAGGGTGCAGGAGACGATCAACTGCATCAGGCCCATGCCGATCAGGGCGCCGGCAATCATCCCGATTCCCAGGGAACAGGACACGAAGGCCCTCAGGAAGTCGCCGAGCATGTAGGCCTGTTCCGTGCCCACGAAGTAGGCCAGAGGACCGGCGAAGAGCAGGGTATCCGTTATGGAAACATCCCTGAGACTGCCGCCGCCGGCCGCCGATCGTTCCGTGGGACGCAGGAGACCCGTGGCCTGGACCTTGCCCACCACCACCATGAGAAGGGACAGCGTCAACGCTGCCAGCGAGAAGAGAATATAAAGCCATAGCAGCGACTCTCCGTCAACGCGAGGACCACTTTCGATGAAGCCCGAATAGATGGAGGAGCCGCTCCGGCCCGGCAAAGAACTGCCATTGCTCCAACCGACGGCCAGGAGGGACTGCACCCGCAATGGGCACATGTCGGCGCCGCAGATCCTCTCTCCGTGTTCGTTGCGATTGTAGAAATCCCGCAGCTGTGGTGGCCAGCTGTCGTTCGATGATCCGGAGGCATTGCAATCCGTGCTCCAGTCCCCGTGGGTGCAGGCCAGGAGCAGGGAGGCCAGCAGGGCACCCACTATCAGGCCCAGATCCTGGGAGGCACGAAACCAGCGCGCCAGCCGCCTCACCTTCTGATCCCGGTTGCAGAACATCTTGTGCTCCTCGTGAACGAGCACATCCTGGGCCTGCTGGGAGTCGCAGGTGTGCTGCTGCTGCTGGGAGCAGCTCAGCTTCCCGCCGTAGTGCACGATCAGGGCCGCCTTGGAGCCCCCGGCTCCACTGATGGTCATTCCCAGGAGCAGATAGGCCGGCAACAGCGTGTATATCGAGGCATACAGATGCGAGACCAGGAACAGGGTCACCGCCAAGTAGTTGGCCGCCAGCAGGGGCGTGTATCCATACCTGCGTATCAACCGGAGGCTGGGCAGGCTCATGCCGGCGGCCACCAGAAACAGCAGGCTCAACAGCAGGGATCCCACGTCCGGTCCCAGGGGCAGCCACTGCTCTCGATGATGCCAGACGGCGTTGGAGCCTTGCAGGGCCATCACCGGCAGCAGGACGCAGTTCATCAGGCCGTGGGCCAGGCTGAGGCATGTAAACTGCCGCCACGCCTTCTGGCGCACGTGGGCGGGCACCTTGTGGCGGCAGTTGCGGTTGTTCAGCGTGATCAGCCGCCGGATGGAGGTGGCTCCGATAGAGCTATTAATCGACTCCCGACGCCTCGAAGCGGCCAGTGCAGCTTGGACTTGGTAGGAGGACACTGGATTGATGCGATGCGACCGCGTCGATATGGGCGAGGGCGAGTAGGTGGTCAGGTGCTGGAAATAAGGATGAATCAGTAAGGATATCACTTTCATCCTTGAGCTTTATTAAGTTAAAGTTTTCTCCAATCATTTTTCAAACTAAGCTGGCGGAGATTATCGTCTTGGTAGCAGTTAATCCCCCAAAGCCTTGGACTTCAATTGCAAGTGACAAGGTTGGGAGTGGGTGGAGGTGGTGGTAGTCCTTGTCTGTGGGCGGTGGGTGGTTGGGTTACTCTACAAACAACATTTGAGATTCCCCCTTAATTGCTTGTTGTGCATCGGAAGGAGATAATGCAGTTTCCTTCTCTGACAGCTCCTGTTGCTTCATTTAGTCCTTCGCCATCCTGCTCGTCTCCCCCTCCCAGCTCAAGGCACAAGGGTCTTAAGCACTAATCTCATTTAGGAAGGTGACAAGTCCAGAGGCTCCCCTTTTTTATAAAATCAGAAAACCAAAACCCACACTCACCTCCATCATTTGCTCGTCCCAGACGTTCTGTGTACCGCCGGAGCTCCTCGTCCGGAGCACCCGATGCCTGGTGGTCAGCGAGTGACGGTGCTGGTGCTGTTGGTGCTGGTGCTGATGTGGATGGTGGTGCTGGTACTTTTTGGTCAGGCCCAGCATGGCGAAGCCGCTCAGCGTGGTTGTGGTGGTGGTGGCCGGATTTGCGCCGCCCGTCGCCTGGGATTGGGACTTTCCAGACGCAGTACCATTGCCACTGGGCAGTTCACCATTCCCGGTGGCTGTGAGGCTTAACGAGCCACCGCCGATGCCCAGACCAGCCATGATATAGGCATTGTACGAAGATTGCTGGAGATCGAGAGGTTACAAGGACGAAAAGACAAGGATATGACTCACCTTTCGTTGCTGGGCAAAGGCAGATAGACGCTCCCGCTCTCGACTGGTGTCCCTGGCCCGCTGCTCCAATAGGAGCTCGTACTCCCGCCGCTTCTCCCGCTTGCGCTCCGCCTCCTCCAGCTCGTGAAGATTCGGGAGACTGCCCATGATCCCGACAATATTCCTGACTTATCGAGGCGTTATCCGTTTGCTACTTCACTTGTACTCCGGCCGAGTCAGTGAGTTCCCAATGCTCCTCTCATGCTGCTCCTACAACGCCCGACACCAGATTCTGGTCATGTTCCTGCTCCGCCACTGGCATGCCAACATTTATGAAATTCTATGGAAAAATGGGTCCTTTGTGGGCGGTTCCATTGTCTGGCGCTGACATGCAACTATATCGTTTGGCATTTACCGTATTCCCGTTGCAGCATGCGAGTCCTGTGTCCTGTGTATCCTGCGAATGGAGCAGGAAATGAGAAAGCTTGCCTTCGGGCGAGGACAGGACAGGGCAGAACAGGTGGATTGTGGGCGGGTATTGAATGGCTCCGTTTATCGGCGCCGTTGTCACTGCACCAGGAATACTGGCCTGTCACCTCCACCTGTACACACATGCACCCACATCCCTCCCGGGCACACCCACATCCACGGAACATATCACATTTCCACTTAAACATTCAACCAGCTCCGCAAATATTGCATACTTATGTGGGCCAGGAGACGAAGCTACATATTCATGAGTACACATACAGTGCCTGGAGAAGCTATATCCCTAGGGGAATATTCCTTAAAACGTAAGCCATATAAGTCTTTAAGGTTAAACGAATTGTTATTAATACTTTATAAGGACTATTTTCAGGTGTCGAGATCACAAAATGTTAAGAAAGGTTTCTTAACTATTTAAGGGGCCTATTTAAGGTTGTCGGGGTCACCAGCTCTTAAGAGATGTTTCTAGAACAATAACCCACACTTTGAAGTCCAGAACTTTGAAATAAAATACATTATTTTCCAAAACATAAGCTGTACTTCCCTAACAACACAAGAAATAAGAATAATAATCCTTGAAGACTAATTTTAGAAGGTTCTCTTTACTGTTCGGGGTCACCAAAACTTGAGAAACATTTCCAGAAATTTAATTGCTTTGAAATTAAAGCCTAGAGCGCTTTCTGGAATTCTGTATCTTAAAAGTGACCCGTGACAAAAGTTTTAATTGGATTAGAAAATCAGGTTACCACTCCCAAGGACCTGGAGGGATGTGTGTGTCCCACAAACCATGTCCTTGGTCACTCGCTTCCACATTTCACCTTGCAGATAATGAGATGGCGTTAATTAACAGCAATGGGGTGTTATCATTTCCACCCCCCCACCCCACCCACACCCCACTCACTGCACAAAATCATCAGGTGTGTCCATTTTGAGTTATCTACACATGTGCACACCCAACCCACCGATAGAGACACACACACATCCAACGTATGTATATCCTGCGAAAGCTATGTCCCACTAGTGGATAAGAATTTTGACTGGATTTGGGATTGGTTTGAATTTAGCCGGAGGGGTAGCCACCGAAAGAGACTGGCACATCGTTTTGCAGCTCATAATCAACTCATAAACAGACTTGCCACTACATAGCATCCAGCCATCCAACCCACCCATCCAAAAAAAAAAAAGGAAAAAAAAAAACAACTCCAGTTGAGGCGCAGTTTTGCGGACACACGCCCCTAGAGGGCATCCACCCACCAGTCACCTCCAGCTCCTCCTCCCAGGACACACAAAAAAAAACGAAAATCAGCCAAAGGAAGATAACAAATGGAAAAAGGCCAGATGAGAAATGAATATGAATATTTTAAAAACCAAACCAAGAGAAGCTACATCCCCCAAACCAGTCCCATATATGTACATATATAAAAAAAAAAAAAAATAAATATATAGACAAAAAAAAAAAGAACACAGAAACCTTGTTGAAGTCTCCCGTTTCGATCTGCACTTTGTTTTCGAACAAAAGGATAATTATTTGTTGAGATTTTAGTTTCGCACTTGTTAGGTCCTGGGTCCGTTAAAATTGTTTATACTAAAAAGTCGGTCCAAAACCAAGTCGGAATACCGATAACAATACACGGCCGCACGCAATCTGCTCCAGAAACACACTGAAAGCCAAGGAGGGATTACTTCCACTACTGGTGAACACCACTGTTGTCATCTGGAGAGCCATTGACAGGACAGCATCCAGCATGGGACATGCGCACTAAATGCTTCAAATATCCTGATTTCTGGGTAGCAGGGGCACACTGCAAAAAATTAAATAGGCTTATGGTCACTCTGGGTAGGGGATATGATGGAATTTTTTGATTTTAGATTAAAATAATTAATTACTGAATAATTAATAAGCTTAATTACTCTACTTAAAAGCTCGAAAACTTGTAAAGGATGTCTATTGAATTTCTTTCGGTGTAGAACTTAACCCAAACATTGACCCCACCCACTGAGCTAAGTGGCAACCAATCCCCAAGTCTGTTGGCTGGATTCGTTTTTGTTTTATTTAAAAAAAAAAGATGAAAACTAACTGCAAATTGGCTAACAACAAACACGTGCATGGCTTGGCTTAATTATTGATTAAATCGCAGATCTGAGCATGAGACCACATTAACAAATCATGTCAGACCAGATCAAGAACAGAATCAAACAATTAACACTAACAGATATTGAAATGCATTCGTCGACATATCGTCGTCGGGCTAGTTGAACATTTGTCTTTGGGGGGCATACATATAGAGTATATATAGATACATGTATGTATTAGATATATGGAGACCCATTTTTTTTTTTTTTGTTAGATTAATCCGAACCATTCGTACTCTAAACAATCTCAAATGGAATGGCAACTATAATCTCAAAAAAAAAAACGGGCTAACAGCACTATTAAATCCTAGCATTGAGTTCTTCGCCTTCATTTGAGCTGTATGTATGTGTGTGTGTGTCTGTGTTAACATGGCCTAATCCGCCGGATAGCCAAAGCTTAGATGGAGATTGCACCACCTGCGATGCTTGCTGCCCAGCGTGAACTCTGCCTGGCGAACGGCGCCCAGAAACGGATGCGCCTCAAAGTCCAGACTGGTGAGATGGGATTGCAGCTCTTTTGCGGCGCTTGCAACATTCCCCACCGTCGGACCACTGGCCAGGCCTGCCTCCAAGCGAACGCACTCTTCCACTATAAACTTGAGGGCTGCACGGCGATGCAGCTCGAAGCAATCTCGCGCTCCGTACAGCGTCCGCTGTTCCGAGCACAGTCGCATATCGTGGGCGGCCACATTGCAGCAGTAGAGGAAGGAACGCAGGCGCTGCTCGCTCACAGAACTCCGATCCACATGGGGCAGGAGCAGGCTTAGCAGACTCTCCGCTCTGGCCTGACACGGCAGGCCATAGTTCTCGGCCAGTAGTTGCTGTAGACTGGCCAGCGATGAAGATCCCGAACTTGAGGTGGGTTCGGCGGTGGGCAGGGCAAAGCAGAGCTCGTAGGCTCGTCCGAGGAGCACCTGGCGATAGTGGTAGCAGCTGTAGTCGCTGATGTGCTTCCGCATGAACTTCTCGGTGCGCAGCAGCTCCGATTGGAGCAGACAGGGGCCGCTCTGCAGGATCCACTGGCGATGCGACCAGGCATGGTAATTACTGGCGCACCGATCCGCCGCCCGCTCGCAGATTCCGATCTCGTTGGGCCAGTCGATGGCGTCGGCGCCTGAAATACACAAATTTCAAGTATCACCAATTAATCCAAATTCTTCTCAATTTCCCACGATGGCCAATTCAATTAATTGATAAAAAAAAAGGGTTACGAGCGTGTGGAATAACAAAAAAATTAATTTGTTGCTAGGAAAATAATCTTGGAACTTGAATAGTTTCAAAGTCATTTTGATTTAGGGGCACGATAAGATTAATTTACATTTTTCGAAAGATTATCACGGAATTTTTATAAGCCATTGACTGAAGATGCTTGATTTTTCAATGGCCAGATAGGATATACCCAACTAATCCCCGCCAGAACACTTACTTTGGAACGAGTAGAGCCAACGGCGATAGGCGAATGCCTCGTTGGACTTGGGCTTGATGGACAGCACGAGGGCGGAGAACTGAAGCTCCTTGTTGATGCTCAGGCGGTTCTTCTGCACCAGCTGGCGACGTATATGCCAGAAAGTGGTCACGTCCGGATTAATCAGCAGCGCCACATTCAGGTACTTGGCCAGGGAGTCGCTCTGCTGCTGCTGTTGTAGGGTGCGGAGCTGTTGCTGCCACGTCTGGCGGCGATGAGAGATAAGGGTGCGATGGGCATGATCGTAGACATGCTGGGCACACCACGACTCCAGGCCCAGGTTGTGCTCCACATGCACCACCGGCGATTTGTTGCAGTTCGTCTCCTTGGGTATGATCTCAAAGGAGGCACTAAAATCAAGTAAAATAATGTCGGTACAACTATAAGGCACTTTGGGGTCTAACTTACAGGTCTGCATCCTTTTGGAACACCGCATTTATGTCCTGGATGATCTTCTCGCAGAGGACCTTCTTTTCGTTGCGCTCCTCCGCCATGATTGTTGCGATTCCGGCAACTCCGCAGAACTAACTGCTTCCGAGGCTCCGCGGGATCGGTTCTTCCGTTCGATAGAGGGACCTCAGGCACATTGATTGCCTCCAATTAACATTGGCATGCTCTCTATGCCCAGTTCCTCCCCGATCCGGTTAATTAAGGTTTCGAGGCAGTGGCAGCGTCAGGGACCGGGCCGGCCAAGCGATGAGGGGGCGGTACTGGGACTACGGCGGAACCCCCCGTGGCAGCCGCATCACAACAAATAAATTTCAATTAAAAGCGATTTTGTTATTGTTGTGGCCGCCGGGCGCACGAACGGTTGTTGGTGTTTCTAGTCCGATGTGCTCCCCTATTTCAATAATATGGTATATTCCGTTGGTGTTTCCACGAGCGACTGCTCTGTTGATTTCCCAGTGGATTTCGGGTGGATCACAGGTTTTTCTCTTTTTTTTTTTGTTGGGGGGAGCAGCATATGTGCCGTGGACTGCTGTTGTTATTGTTGTTCTTATCGGTTTGTAAACGCAATGTGACCGTCGCTAATAACGGTGTAAAATACCAAAAATGATAATAGATTTATCAAAGAAAGGTGAATTAAAGTTTTTTTTTTTAATAGTTTTTTATGTTATAGAGCAATTTAAGGAAAATAGCTCACATTATAACTTGACTAATTGCTTAATTTATCAATTTTATTTAATTAATAGTATATTAACGACTGAAAATAATAAAACTAAAGGAGAATTTCTAAAATAAGAGATTTTCCATACAAGTTTATTTTATTAAAAAGATTAAAAAGCCGAAAAAGTCGTGGAAAATCCATTTAATATGATCAGAACTCGCCATCACTGATGTTATCGATTACCATCGATAGAAAATCGCGAATTGAGACCACCGTTCTTGGTCACATTGATCGATGGACGTACTATACGAGATTTTGGAAACACGTGCGCGGGAAATAAGGATCTATTAACTCCCAAGATGCAGGCCAACTTCCTCCCATTGAACATAAGACGGTTCCAGCAGCGGGCGCAGGTGGAAACCCCAGACACAATATACTGGGAGCGGTTATCGGTATGAGAATGAAGTGCAAGCAAGAAGAAGAACCAAAGGCTAAATAACTCTTCCTAGAAAGCAGATCTCCTGAAGGAACACAACACCATCGACTATATAGACTTTAGCCCCAGCGATCCGGACAACTTCGTGGTCACATGCTCGGTGAGAGTACAGATCTACAACCTGGTCACAAAGCTGGTGGTGAAGAACCTCTCCAGGTTTCAAAAGACAGCCTATGGAGCCACGTTCAGGCAGGATGGACGGTTACTGGCCGCCGGCGACGAAGAGGGCCATGTCAAGCTGTTCGACACGACGAGCAGAAACATCCTCCGCCTGTTCAAAGGACACACCGCCCCAGTGCATCGGACCTTCTTTACGGCCGACAAACTGCAGTTGGCCAGCTTCTGCGACGACAAATCCATCCGCCTGTGGGACGTCGCCAACGAGAAGGTGGTTCAGACGTACGAGGATGCCCATACAGACTACATCCGGGCGGGTGCCATGCATCCCCTGGCATCGAATGTGTTCGCCTCCGGTGGTTACGATGGCAAAATCCATCTCTACGACACGAGAGCCGAGAAAGCGTTGCAACAGACACTGGATCACGGAGCACCTGTGGAATCCATGCTGTTCCTGCCCAATGGCTCGGTATTTGTCACCGCCGGTGGTAACCAGGTTCGTGTTTGGGACATGATCAGTGGCTGCCGTCTGCTCACCACCATGGCGCAGCACCACAAAACCGTAACCTGTCTCAGGCTGGGATCAGATGGCCGGCGCCTGTTGTCGGGTGGTCTGGACCGGCACGTCAAGATCTACGATGTCAGCACCTACAAAACAGTGCACACACTTACCTATCCCAATGCCGTGGTGAGCTTGGGCGTGGCTAGCGGCGATCAGGCTGTGGTGGCTGGTATGGTCGATGGCCTAGTGTCCATTCGACGGATGATCGTCGACAGCAAGCCGAGTCACTTGAGGAAGATCCGCGCCTCTCGAGCGAAGGCGCATCACAAGCGTCCAACTGCTCATCCAAGCGTTCCCCAGGATGTGGATCACGTCGTCAAGGATCGCGTGAAAGGAACCGGCCTGCAAACCTACGATGTACAGTTGCGGCGATTCAATCATAAGAAGGCACTGGACAATGTTATGTATCTGCAGAGGTTGGAGAAGCAGCCGGAGCTGGTGGTGGCGGTGATAACGGACCTACTGCATCGGAAATCCCTGGACAAAGCCCTCCTAGACCGGCCCGAGCACATTCTCATCAAGTTCATCGACTTTATCTGCGCCCACCTCTCCGAGACACGTTTCATGCGACCCCTGATGAACGCAGCCAGCACCATACTGGACGTCTTCGAGCGCCAGCTGGTGACCTGCAGCGATAAGCTGTTAAAGGCCCTGGAGAAGCTATCGCGGACGGTTGAGAACGAGATCCACCTGACGACAGAGCTGATGCAGCTGAAGGGCGCCATGGATATGCTGATAGGTGTGTCGCTGGAGAGCGACGAGGTGCGACACAGGCCCACCTACGTCCAACCGGCAAAAGCTCCCAAAATGCAGCCCTCCCAAGCGGCGGAGAAGTATGTGGTGTTTGTGGAGTGACCACCCATTGTGGATGACCCATTTTATCCAATTATACATAAATAGTAATACCTATATTTTATATAGTAGGAATTTTTTTAAATATTTTATTTGTAGGCGGAAAATAAAGTGTAAATAAGAAAAGAAATATGTACTAATTTGTGTTTAAAGTTTTGGGAGGAAGATAGGAGGACATTGCTGAGGAAAAGAGATAACACCCAGGATGCGTACTATGCATGTATATATCCTTCTTTATTAAATACATACTTAAAATGAACATAATTTCTTCATCAATCTTGCCGATTTGCATTCTTTTCTCTTTTGTTTTTATTTTTATTTATTTTATTTTTTTTTAAATATACAGTTGAATTTTTCCTGCACAAGTTGTACAAATGATAAAAAAAAAACTATTTAACATAAAATAAACGACACAATTTAATTATAATCATTATCATAATCATTTATCAAACTAGCATTTTTTTTGCTGTTTGCAGTTTTATCATAATATTCTTTCGATCTCGAAATACAGATTTTAGCATTTTTGTTTTAAACTATTTTCTGTTTTTGTTTTTTCACTTCACTTATGTTTTTTTCACTTTTGTTTTGTTTTTTTTTTTTTTTGTGTGTAGAATTAAAGTTATGATTACATTATATTACGGTTATTTGGAAAGACGAATTTACACTTAGAATTTGCTCATCTCCGACATTGCATCGATTTTTTCTGTTTTTTTTTCTGTTTTTTTTTTTATAGCTTAAACTAAACTCTCGCGCTAATTATAATATATATATAAAGTTTTGTATTTATGTATAATTATATGTATATGTATAGGTATATATATATATCTATTACGCTCGATCTCGATTACTTTTTGCCATTTTACTCTTAAGATTAGAGAGAAAAAAATATATAAGATTACACACTTTCGTTAAATTAAAAAATACATAAAATACAGATAGGCGTCTTAACTAGTTACAAGTTACATACGTGGTGGAAGGAGGACAAGTTACGATGGTTGGGGGGATGTGTGGGAGGACGTTGGACATTTAGTACTTAGGATAGACTACTAGCTGCGAGTGGTGGTGGTGGGTGGGAGGACAAAGGGATGAAGGAGTGTGTGTTGTTGTCGGAAGTGCTGGCTGGAGCCCCTACATTTACAATTAAATTACAAATTACAGGTTTATACTTTATACGCATATACATAACAGATATTGCCTTTACATTTTACACTCTTCGGTCCCCTCCGATCCAGAGAATCGTGGCCGAGGCCGCTGCAACAGCCACCTCAGTTTCGGATCTCAGTCAGAGTGTTACACAATTCAATATTTTTTTGCCGAGAGTCTGTACAACATACATTTAAGCATTGGCTTGGCTGGGGATTGGCTTTCTACTGGCTTGCTACAGACTACGGGAAAGCGGGCGAACTTAATCAAACATGTGTGGCATTCACATAGGAATTTACTTGCAACGCATTTCAACGCAAACGATCAACCAAATGGGTTTGGTATACTGTGGGTGATTGTGTCGCTATCGAAATCCAAATACACCTCCCCGTGGATGGACACTTTGATCCAAGGTGTGCCATCCAAAAAACCAGGAAATGGATGCATGTCGTTTCTGTCCGATTTTGTCAGTGTGGCGGTATCAGTATGATTGCAATTTGGATGTAGAACTCGATGTGTGTGTGTGTATATATATATGTATGTAAGTCCGTGAGTGTGGTGGGGTGTGTGAGGCGAGTGATTCCAGGGTGCAATTTATTCTGGGAAGTATGTGCGTCTGGTTAAACCCCCCCGTGACCGTCTTAGCCGTCCTCCTTGGGCGGTGTAAACCAACCTACAAACAAAACACAAATATTAGAATTAGTTTCAATCAAATCTGGTCCTATAAGTACCATTCTTTTCGTGGATCTGCACCAACGATTTGAAGCTCTGCTGGGCTCTGGCCAAGCTATATTGACCTTGGGTCAGTGCCTGATATTCAAAAAGATGAAACGATTATTTAAATAAGACTCCACCATTTCATGCAGCCAACCTACCTTGGTGGCTCCAAATTGAATGCGCGCCTTTCCCTTCACTAAAGTGGCGGCAATTTGCATAATCACCGCTTCGACGGTATAAGCAGAGCTCCAACCTTGCTTGGTCAGCAGTTCCATGCAGATGGCTCCACCGATGAGCACATAGCCACCTGGAAACAAGAATCTTCTAGTAAATGGTTTTTAGGACTTGCAAACTGCAAAACCTTACCTGAGATAATAGGATGAACGACTCGGACAAAGGGCGGCTCGAACGGATACGTCTCCTTGAAGAGTATATTGAGCAGTATGCTATCCTTGCCCTCCTTCTCCTTGAGCATTAACAGATCACTATGAAGCGGACTATCTGGATCGACGGACTTTAGGCGTATATTCCACTCGTATATAGACTCGTTCACGAGCTCAATAGAATACATGTTCTTTTTAAAGGCGTCCGACCGATAAATATCACGCAATTCTTTCATTAAGCGATCGGTTGCCTGCACGGAACCAGAAACGGAACCCTAAAATATTCAATAAAATAACAATAATTAGTTTAGTTTTAAATTTTTGGAGGAATAATTTAAAAATTACTTTTAAATAGTCTTGTCTTTGACTTTGACGCAGTCTTTCCAGGGTCGCTAAGTGCTCAACTTCCATATCATCCTTCTGCAAATCATAAAAGTTTCATAAATATATTATTTTAATAGAATATTATTAATAATCTCACCTTGTTTGTACTTCGTACATCGTCCATTTCGAGGGGCAAGTCTTCGTCACCCTCGCTTTCCTGCTCACTTTCTCCAATTGGATCTTCGATCTCGTCCTGGTCCGAGTCTGTTTCCTCATTACCATGCGGCCCACTGCCACCGCCGCCCGCACCACCCGCTCCGCCGCCGTGTCTCTGCTCGCAGCGAAGTGGCGATGCGGATGGCGGTGGTGTTTGCAGCGGCAGCGCCAGGTTATCGATGTCGGGTGGCAGTGGAACGTTGTGTAGTCGGCACAGCTCACGCAGCAATATGCCCACCTAACGATCATCATCACAAGGATGATTATTTAATTTTTAATCGATTTGTGGATATTTTTTAATATCTTACTTGATTAATAACGTGATTATCACGTCCATTTGTATTGCTAAGTATTTGAACGGCATTTGTGACGCTCGTCTCTTCACTTTCGGCAAACCAAACTGGCGGCGATGAAGGATAAGTTTCCTGGAATGGATAACAAGGATTTAACATTCTTTTCTTATCAAATTCATATAGAATTTAAAAATAAACCACCTGATTTAGAGCTTTATATGTATGTATGTACTCGACTCTTATCAGCAACTATTGATAATAAACTTTAAATGTTTTTTGTCTAAAAATAGTTTGATGAAACATGAAGGGGTCTACCCCTTCTAGGCCAGAAGACTATCTTAAATGTATTGTGATGTGGGGGTGGTGGGGTGGGTCAAGGACATTGACTTTCGCACACAAAAGATCTCTTTCGTTCTCAGCTCGTTCTCAGGTGAATTTGTCGCCGTCAAATGTCTACTTGACATACACATGTAAATAAAAAATAAACAAATAAGCGAGGAGGAGAGGAGGAAAGGAGGGGAGGAGCGGGGATGGGGATGCGGGAGCAAGTTCGGAATTATAACCTTTAATTAGATCGTTGAACCATACGGGGAGCACTGAACACAAAACAGATGGACGTGCACAGAGAGAAAAAAAAAACTTAAAAAAAAAAAATTTATAAATAATAAATCATTTTTATATACTTAACAGAACAAATACATTTATTAATAATAATATTCTACATAATTTTTTTCTCTGTGTAGAACAGAGCTTGGCCTTCTTGCGATGAATCACTCTCTTTTTTTTTTTAACGATATTTGATCGGTTATCGACATAGGATCATCCCCAAAAAAAAAAAAGAAGAATTAATGCAAAAAAAAACAGACAAGAACAGACAAGAGATAAAGGAAGAGAGAGTGGAGCAGAGCAGAGATGGAGCCCAAAGGGCATCGACTACCACCATCTGATCTCTCTTCTGTTCTCCACTTTCCCCTCGCTCCCCTGCACCACCCGCTTCGCTACGCCAGTGAGGAGCGTGGGAATAAAGAATCCCCACTCACACACACACACAAACACACACACAGACTGACCAAGTGCGAGGGAGTTAGCACGAGAACGATCACAAAGGAAGGGAAAGGTGATGCGACAAGGATAGCGCTAAACAAGGAAGAAATTTATGAATTTGGGGAGAAAGATGGGGAGTGCAAAGATGAAAAGGAAGGTAATCGTTTCATTTTTTTATATAATTACTCAAAAAAAACAGCTGATGGAGAGACTTGCCCAGAATACTGATACTATAATGTAGATATGTGTAGGTACTTCCATAATCTTATCATTCCAATAGTTCTGAAGTGGAAAAGTAGTGGAATGGGAAATCGGACAATAATTTAACCCTTTATTAGATCGCTTTTCTTTACCTCCCCCTCCCTCCCCGCAGGTCTTAAGCCATTTGTCAACAAGGCGCTTTTCTGATATCATTCTTGGACGAGTTTCTTGGACGATAAGCTTTTCTTTAAGAATTTTTCTCCACCGACTAATAAATTGATATTCCATCTGAGCATTTTTTTGGAATTGCACTTGTGAAAATAAAAGTCTTGTTTGTGTCTGGGGCCAAAGCTGATAACAAAACAGAAAAAAAAAAATTAATAAAATAAAAATATACAAACATATGTATAATTGCCTACAAGGCCATTCTCATGGGAAAATCTGTTAAGAACCCCATTTCTCCGCAAGTGACTCAGTTGGAAAAGTTGTGAATGCAATTGAAATGCATTTTATTGCGTTTTAAGCCAGAAATCGTAGTTTTTTTAGCCATTGAAGGTTACTTTACAAAGATTTTTGTTGAATGACAAATGAAGTGATGACGCATTAATGGATTTCTAAACACTAAACAAAATATATATTTTATTTTCTAAAGGAATATGTATGTACATACTTTAGGGAGTATTATTTCTCTCAGTGTTATGGGGGGTAACAGACATTAAAGGATAATTATAACTCACCGTTATATTGGCATGGATGTCGTAGCGTTTTCCATTCTTATCGATGAAACGACATAGGAGCTCGTCGACACTTGAGTTGAGGATCTGAAAGCGTTCGTGATTCTTGGGGAAGATCTTCTCCAGGGTTTTGATCTCCTGCTTCAGGGTGTTAAGGCACGCCATCTTGTGGCGGGCAGCAAAGGCAACTGGTCGGGATATTTGTCACTCTATCTGTTTCCTTTTTATACTCCTCCTTGCTTCTTTTATTTGATTTCTTCTATATATTGTTCATTTATTTATTTTTTTTTTTGGTCCGAATAAAATTGCTTTCTGTTCCGAAGGGGGATACCCCCCAACAACAACAGCTGCTTCTCGTTGCTCCTGCGTCTGTTTCCTTTTTTTCGTTTCCTTTCCGTTTCTTTTCTCCGCAAAAGCACACCAAGACGATAACCAACACAGTCGCCAACTGGCTCTTATTCTGCTCTACTCTCTTCGCGGTCTCCCCACCTCTGCGGATTTGTAGCCGGGCCGTCAATAGATGGCGCTCGCGCTCGTTGTTGATTGTTATTATTTATATTTTTTTTGTTGATGTTGTTGTTGTTGGTTTCTTGTGTTTTCAATTCACGATTTTAATTATTGTGCTCTAGCTTTTGCTCTTGTTTTGGAGGTAGATTTTTCGAAGCCAAAAAAATCAAAATAAAAGAAAACGGCGACTTTTACAGACGCCTGGCCGTTCGGTACTGTTCTTTGTTGTTTTCGTTTTCGTTGCCCCTGGGCCCTTGTTCCTTTCCTCACCTCGCCACACCACACCTCACCCTCGTCTTCTTCGTCGTCGTCGTCGTCGTCTCCTCCTGCTCCACTTTGCCTCCTCGCTCTCGCTCACACGTTCACTCTTCTGCTGTTTCTGGTGCTGCTGCGGCTGCTGCTGCTGTTGCGGCTGCTGCTCCTGCTTCTTCTTCTTCTCCTGCGGCGCCCAGCATGCGCTCTCTCGTGTGCGTCTCTCTCTTTTTTTGGCGTTCAGTTTGCCCTTTGATTTCGTTACTTATCCCTCTGTCTTTTCCTTAATTATGGGCTCCAACTGTGTGCAATGTCCTGTTCAGTTCTTTTGTTGATAAAAGGACGAAATGATGGCGTTAAACACGTGTTTTTTTTTTTTCTATTTTGGCTGCTGCACGCCAAACAAAAACAACAAACAGCAGTTAACACACACACACACACACACAGCCGCAAACAAACAAACACTCACGCACGCACCGACATAGACGAGAAGAGCCAGACACAGCGAAACGCACACTTTTGCAAAATATATTGACGTCTCCCTCGCACTTGGGGCGATGGAGCTGCCAGCCTACGCAACGACGATCGGAATTGGAAATTGGTAACCTGGTGGAGCCCAGTGGAGTTTCACAGACAAAAAAAAAAAAAACAAAAGCCCCAAAATTCTTTGCAAATGATATTGGAAAATATTCGCCTACACCGCCCCCGTTGCCGCGTCAGCTTCGCGACAGTTCGCCCTTCTCACTCGCTCTCGCTGGCTGGCCCTCCCCCTGCCCGAACCCCCATTTTTCTGCTGCGTTTGTTGTTCGTGGGGCTTGAAAATTGTATAAAAAAAAAAAAAAAAAGCTCGCAAGGCACAAGCCGATGAAAGAAAAATGATGGCAGCCGAAGAAAATCCGTGCCAAAGAGGAATCGAAAGTCAGTTGGCACACAGGCACACACTCACACACACACACACTATTATAAATGGGGGGGCAGCAGAGGGCAGGGAGTACAGTGGAAACAAATGGAAATTTAAATCCAAATCAAATTCTTCTCGAGAGGCTCCACGGTGCTCCACAGCATACACACACACTTTGACATAAAAACAGAGACACACACACACACACAGAGACACACACGAAAGCAGACGGAGAGACCTGCGCCTGTAATAATTATCAATATTTTAAGCAAAAAACTAACTGTTCTGGTGGATCCCTTGCCCTGCCCCTGACCCCCCCCGATAACTTCTTTGTTCGCGAAGCGAAAGACGGAAAACGCAACATAGAATCGACTGGGACACGGGGTCGGAAAAACGCACATACACACAACAAAAAAAGACGGAGATCACACAGTGACACCCACGAAAACAGCGTTACGTGCAGCAAAACGGAAAAACATTAAACGAAGCACTTGGAAAATTGTGCAGAGGCCACAAACCCAGGAAAAAACAACAAAATAACACGCACACAGCAGCGAAAAACGAATAGCGTACCGTGTTGCCAGATGGCCGAATCGGATTTCCCCGAAATTACCTGACACTCAGCAGGCTTTAAAAACCGCCTAAAAAATCCTACTTTCCTTAATATTTCAAAGTAAATTCAAATTTTTAAAAATAAAACTTTAAAAATAGTTAATATGCTGTTGGTAAACATATCTCTTATCTATATAACTTATGGCATTAAGAATTTTACCAGTAGGCTGTTGAAAATATGTAGGATCTCGTTTTACTACGATCTCTTGGGAATTACAAAAATTACGATTTAAAAAGGTAAAAATTGATAGAAAAATTACAATAGTTTCTTAATTCATTTCATGTTATTTATTCCTAGATCTACCAGGGATTACTAATAACCGGCGTGGCCAGAGCGATGAAAATTTGTGCAGCGTAGGTTGCCAGACTCGCGCAATCTTAGTGTTGGAAAGTCTTGAGAAATAACCGTGATTTGAATTATTTGGATCTTGATTAGAATTATTTTAAAAATTTTAAAAACACCGATGGATGGGCATAGAACTGGAATTACTCACCTGATAACGACGTTTCTGGGTTAAAACTAGGGGGATCTCAATTTTTTGGAAAATTTCGAAACAACTAACTACTTTGGGAAAACTTGAAAAATATTTCAATTTGTATAAAATTATTTGTAGGACAATTACTATTTGTAAGAAATTCTGACGCTGGAAAGCCGTTGCGTGTAATACACGTTTCAAAATATATTCAGACAGACCGAGACTCAAAATAAAAATGACAGGTTTCTACGATTTAAAAAAAAATTGAATGGATACTTGGTTTTTTTTTTTTTAATTTCTGTTTAAATTTATTATGATCTCGTGTATTTTTGAGCTGATTTTTTATTTTTGTTATAATTCGTTGATCCTTTTAACGCTCCCCTGCCCGCCCAATTGTTTTTGTTTTTTTCGCTACTTTCGCTACAATAGATCAGTGGATACTATATAGTGGACATGTATATATAATATATAGTATGTTTAGAGAAGAAGTAGAGAGGCTTTCAATGTGGGAGTCGTGTGTACATAAGTCTTGTATTTTCTAAGAGCGACCACCTAAAGCACAGCGGAATGGTATGGAAAATGGTTTATACATGTTTTTCAGTTTTTCCTTTTCATGTTTTTTTTTTAGTTTTTTTCTTTTGTTTTTTAATTAGAAATTAAATGTAGCATAATTTAACCCCACGTTTTTGTTTTTTTTTTTTTTTTAGCTAACTTGAATACATACAAAAAAAATCATAGAATTTATGTGGCGACTGGAGTGTCCTGGCTAAGCCCCCGCCCCTCCCTCATGGTATGTGTGTGTGTTGTCGGCCGACGACCCCCCCTTGTGATTTGAATTACTTCTGTTGAATCTTAGCCAGGCACTCGTCTTCCCTGGACTCGCATTACAAAAAAGAAATATCCCCCAAAGGCTGCTTACAGCTCGCTGTGCGGTGTCTTGCCCTCTTCGGTGGGCGTGGGGATGATCTTCTCCTCCTCCTCAGTAGCTGCCTGCTCTGGCTCGGGCACTTGCTCCTCCGGCTTCTCCTCGGACGCCGCCGCCGGCTCCTCCTCGATCTTGGCGCCTTCACCGCTGCCCGAACCCTGCTCCTCCTTGCCAGCGTCCTTCTTCTTGTCCTTGTCGGCGGCCGGCTTGGTCTTTGGCTTCCAGAGCTTGATCTTGTTCACCAGGTACTTGACCTCGCGATCCAGCACACCCATCTTGTCGGTGATGTCCTTGACGGCCATACGAATGTCGGCGTTGCGGGCCAGTTTCTTTTGGGCGGCCGATTCGGTCTTCAGCCAGGTGGTTGTCTCGTCGATCACCTTGGCCAGGGTGTCGATCTCCACTTGGGTGTACACGTCCTTCTCGGGATTGGTGTCCTTGGTAAGGTTGCGTCCGCTGACAAGGAACTTCTCGGCCGCCTCAATCATGCCCTTGAGAGCCTTGATGGCCTCCGGACGCTCCTCGTGCTCCCAGTGACGGGCCAGGAAGACGTTTGAGAGCTTCTTCAGCTGGGCCAGCTTGTCCTCATAGATCTCAGCCTTGGGATTCTCCAGATCCTCGTATAGCCATTCGCTCAGAGTACTGCACTCGGCCAGGAGTTTCTCCTTCTCCTCGGCGGTGGCACAGCTGCCGTACGAGTCCTCGTCCAGTTTCTGTTGCACCTCGATGATGTGCGACTCGAGGGAATTGAAGGCAGACTCCAGACGGACGCGCTCCTCCTCGGCCTTGTTAATGGCATTCAGTTTGGCCAAGGATGTCTCGTAGGCGGAGCCGGAAAGAGGAGGCGTGTACAGCACCGTGGGATCGTAGGTGACGGGGGACTTGACGGTCACCAGCTTGATGGTTTCGTTCTTCTCCGTGTCCTTGTTCTCGGCGGCCTCTGGCTTGTCACCATCGGCCTTGGGCTCCTTGTTGGCGGCCTCCTCTTCCTCCTTGGACTTTTCAGACTCGGCATCGGCATCAGCCTTGGGTGGTTCTTCGCCAGTCGAGGCTGACTCCTCGGCGGTCTGTTGTTCCTCGTCCTTGGTGGTCTTCTCCTCGCCGTCCTTGGCGAAGAGCTTGCTCAGAGTGCTGCCCAGCTTCGCTAGAGTACTGTCATCGTCGGCATCCTCCTCGGGCTTCTGCTTGTCGAACACATACTCCACGTTGGTGCAGTGGAAGATACCCGAATCGTCCAAGTAGAAGTAGGCCTTGATGCCCTTGTTGTCCACCAAATTATTCTTGGATTTCTCTAGCAGTTCCTTGACCTGCTTCAGCTGCACCTTGGTCACATTCAGGCTGCCAAGGGCTTGGACATCGTCCTGGGTGTAGCGATCCAGGTCGGCGTAGTTAACGTAGAATTTAAAATCGTCGGTGTGCTTGTTGAAGGTGATGACCTTTTTCTGGGGATAGGGATTCATCAGGGCGAACAGGACGCGCTTCACCTGCTTGACGGCAGCGCCATCGCCAGGATCACGCTCGAAGGACACCTGCAGGGGGTACAGCACCGCGTCCTTAACGACAAACTTCTTGACCTTAAATCCAGTGGAGAGATCGGCTGCCTTGTAAACAGCACCCATGGTGGCGGACTCATCGGCGTTCAGGTTCTTGCCCAGCTCCTGCTTGATCAGGGCCTTGATGGTCTCCTGGACGCGGGGAACACGAGTGCCGCCGCCGAACAGGATCACCTGGCTGATGACGTCCAAGCTGAGGTGCGATGAGGCCAGGGCCTGTTCGAGGGGTTTGGTGGCTCTTGGCCAGAGATCGGCGCAGATCTCCTCCAGCTTCTCGCGGCTAACCGGCAGCTTGAAGTCAATGTCCTCCAGCACGTTCTCAATCTGGGCATAATGATCGTTGTTGGCCGAAAGGACGTTCTTCAGACGACCGGCTTCCTTGAAAAGTTTCGCCAAAGCCCGGGGATTGGTGGTCACATCGGTTTTGGTCTTCTTCAGGGCATTGAACTCGGCCGCCAGGTAGTCGCGCAGCCTCAGCTGGATCTCCAGGCCACCGAGTGTCCGGTCGTAGCCCACACCCAGGACCTGCACCACTGGGTTAATCTCCCGGGTCTGTTTATCCTTCACCAGCTGGTAGCTGACAACAGCGGCGGAGGTCTTGTAGGCGCCCATGTCGTAGAATAGGAAGTACTGAGCCGTCTCATTGATCTCACCGCGATGGAACACGCCATAGTTGAGGGCCACGGCGGCATAGTCGTTGATCAGTTGGAGCACCTTCAGATTGGCCAGCTGAGCGGCGGCCAGGAGCGCCTCACGTTCGGCCTGGCCAAAGTAACCGGGCACAGTGAGGACACACTCGGCAATGGGCTGTTGTGTAGACTCCTGGGCGAATTCCTTGGCCTTGATGAGCATCTGTGCCACCAGCTCCTCCACGGTGAACTCCTCGGTATCGCTCTTGCGGAAGACCACAGTATTACGTTCCGGATCGCCGACAATGTTGTAGTACGGGAAACGTTTTCTGAATTAAATAAAAAAAAATATAAGTGTTAGAATGACGTGGCCATTTCAATATATGTACATATATTTGGTTAAATGGCAATGGAAGTGGCTTCCACGTAGATAGTTTTTTTTTTCATTCAATAAACTTTATGTATTAATTTTTAATTATAAGCCAGGAAACTGATAAGCTTTCTTTCCAGGAATTTGAATAGAAAAACTGTTTTAAGACCTCACCTGTACAAATCTACAATCGGATTATCGATGGTCTTGCCAAGGAGATCCAATAGATAACCATAGGCGGCATTTGGTTCCTTAATTCCAATAGTCTGGGCATCCTCGCCAATTGTGCGTACACCGTTGCGGAAGGCCAGGATGGCTGGTGTCTTGCGCTTGGACTCACGATTCAGGGCTATTTCCATGGGTACGCCGGGTGAAACGACGCCAACTTTCATCCATTCGGTGCCGAGATCCACGGACATGACAGCGGCACCATGGCTAAGGGCAATCCCCGCCAGCAGGGCGCTCAAAACGAGCAGGATTTTCATTGTCTGTGGAAGGCCAAAAAAGGAAATGTCAGGAAAATCGACAAAAATCAAAATCTAATCAAATATTTAAAGATCAATACGCCACGCGGTTACCTTCGTGTACTGTTCTTTTCCTTTTTTTTCTAATTGGTAACCTCCGGTGGCTTTAACCGGAGAGCGTTAACCTTAACTTTCTTCTCCACCTTTCTAGCTCTTTCTCTTCCAATTCTTTTATCTTTTTATTATATTTTACTTTTTCTTTTTTTTTTGCAACGCAAGCAGCTGTCTGTGCTGCCAGTGCTCCCTCCTCACCGTCCCGCCTCCTTCAACCGCTTTACACTTACGTGTCCCGTTGTGTTTCCACTTCCCCACCGTCCTTGCGACTTTCCAATTGTCTTGCCACTAACCTGATACACTTGCTGGGACCGTCGACGTTCTACTTTGATTCAAGAATTGTTGAATTATGAATTAATTGTGCGCGGCGAATGCGTTTCGCAGAGAGGGATTAACAAAAAAGAGTCGCCCCGTTGACGTGTTGATTCGGAGAACGAACAGCCGCGCTGTCCAATACTAAATCGGTTGTGCGGTCACGCTGTTCAACACTAAACGGGCTAGTGTTGGAAAAATCTAGATTGGAATGGCGCGAAATACTAGATTATACTAGAGATTTAAAAATTTAAGTTATTAAATAAAAATAAGTTAAAAAACAAAAAAAAAATGTTACTAAAGCTTATTTTAGTTTAATATAACTTTATGAAGTACTGAAAAGACCCCACTTTCTGTATTTTACGCTGTTTCTAATTTCTTAATTAAATTAATGTTTAAGCCAAACTATAACAAATAAAATAATAAATTAAGAAAAACGATTTTAACATTTATTGTTTAAATTTAGTTTTAAAAGTCACGTAACTTAAGACATCAAAACTTTAAAAATAATAAAAAATCGTGACTTAATAGGTCAACTACATTTAAATTGCTTTCAGTTGCATTTAATTATTACATGCAGTTACATATATTTTTGTTTAAATCACTTAGAATTTCAACCCACATATTATAAACTCAGCAAAAACATCAATGACCGCGTTTTTAACAAAAAAAATGCTGACAAATAAAAAAAGCTACTAGTTTCCGATACTCTTATAGTTTTTAAGAGCATCAAAAAATGTAATATAATTTAAAAAATATTTATTAAGTACAAAATACTCTTGGCAATTCTATCAAAGCCTTAAACAAATATTCTTTAATATAAAAATATTCATTTCAGTTAGAGTATTTAATATTTTAATTTAAAAAAAAACGTCAACTCTTCGCAAAAAAAAGAAATGATTGAAGAAAACAATCTATTCCAGCGAATTTTTAAATGGAGAACTATATTTCGCAATACTTTTGAATGCATTTTGAATCGAAAATTTCGCTGATCTGTTTTTTTGGTGTTGGCCATATAAAATCCCCGCCATGGCTCTCCTCTCCAGTCAAAACCCGGTTAGCCATGTTCGAGCAAAGACTGCAGATTCTACTGGCCTTCGGCTGCCTTTTGGCCGTCAGCGTCGCCGGCAACGAGGAGACGGCTCTTCCGGAGCAGGGACTCTTCAGCTTTTTGGATCGTCGTGCTCGTGATATTCCCTCCCAGGCGTACGCCGCTCCAGTGGTCTACAATTCCCAGGCCAGCTACTCGGCTTCCAAGTCCCAAGGTGGCTACGGCGCCCCAGTGGCTCCGGCTGCAGCTCCAAGCTATTCAGCACCAGCGGCTGCGGCTCCGTCTTACTCGGCTCCTGCATCTTCTGGATACTCAGCCCCTAAGGCTTCATCGTACTCGGCTCCAGCTGCTCCTAGCTACTCAGCTCCGGCTGCTCCTAGCTACTCGGCTCCTGCTGCTCCTAGCTACTCAGCTCCGGCTGCTCCATCGTATTCAGCCCCGGCAGCACCATCGTATTCAGCACCCGCAGCTCCAAGTTACTCTGCCCCGGCAGCTCCAAGTTACTCTGCCCCGGCAGCTCCTAGCTATTCCGCACCCGCTGCTCCTGCCTATTCAGAACCAGCTGCCCCTAGCTACTCGGCTCCTGCTGCTCCTAGCTATTCAGCGCCAGCAGCCGCAGCTCCGTCCTATTCGGCTCCCGCATCCTCTGGATATTCAGCACGCAAGGCCTCATCATACTCGGCTCCCGCTGCCCCTAGCTATTCAGCTCCCGCTTCCCCTAGCTACTCTGCTCCAGCAGCTCCATCGTATTCAGCACCAAAGGCTCCAGCATACTCGGCTCCTGCAGCACCCAGCTACTCCGCACCGGCTGCTCCATCCTACTCCGCACCGGCTGCTCCATCCTACTCAGCTCCTGCTGCTGCTCCATCTTATTCAGCTCCTGCAGCTCTCAGTTACTCTGCTCCTGCTGCTCCTAGCTATTCTGCGCCAGCGGCTCCATCGTACTCGGCTCCGGCCGCCCCAGCCTACTCCGCTCCAGCCGCACCAGCTTATTCAGCACCGGCAGCTCCCAGCTACTCCGCTCCTGCTTCCTCATCGTACTCAGCCCCAGCTGCTCCACCGTATTCAGCTCCCAAGGCTTCAGCTGCCGCAAGTTACTCGGCTCCTGCCGCCCCATCATATTCAGCTCCCTCATCCTCATCGTACTCGGCACCTGCTGCTCCTCCATCGTATTCAGCTCCCAAGGCCCCAGCGTACTCGGCTCCCGCAGCTCCCAGCTACTCGGCCCCGGCAGCACCATCCTATTCAGCTCCCGCACCCTCATCCCCATCGTATTCAGCTCCTGCATCCTCATCCTATTCAGCACCAGCTTCATCATCCTATTCCGCACCAAAAGCCCCTTCATACTCAGCCCCATCCTCCTCGCCCAGTTATTCTGCCCCAGCCGCGTCCTCTGGATACTCAGCTCCCTCCAAGTCGGGTGGCTATGCTCGCGATATGGATATGCTGGGAATGGCCAGGACAGCTGGAGGTTATGGATCAGCAGCTCCTTCCTACGGCTCGGCAGCTCCTTCCTACGGCTCGGCAGCTCCTTCCTACGGAGGAGTCTCTGTTCCAGCTCCACCCTGCCCCAAGAGCTATGTCTTCAGCTGCCAGAGCGTCTTCAGTCCAGCTCCTTGCAGTCAAGGATCTGCTTACTAAAAGGACTCGCAACAATCACATCATGTTTAATAAAAATGAAACTAATGATCGGAAAGAGGGGAATATTTATTTAGGATTATTAACTTTAAGGAGGGATTAAGGATGGGAACATGGAGATCAAATATTTATACCCTTTACACCGCTTTCAAAACAAAAGAAAAGGATATACATAGATATCCTAGCATCCATTATCAACCAGATTGATAATGGGCTCTTCTGAAACCTCTTCGATGTATTCTTCATCATCGCGACGATAATCGTAATCTTCGAAAGGACAACTGACCGAATTTTCCTTCAACTTTTGAGCCTTCTTCTCGTTCGTCAGGCTCTTGGCTTTCTTCAGGAGAGTCCTTTGTCGTTGGTAGAAAAGGGAGCACTTGCTGTTGGGCTCCTGCTGGGGAATCAGACTGTCCAGATCCTCGATGCGATCGTCGATGTCGGCCTCCAGCGATAACCGTCTTTCGTTGTAGGTCTCGAAGCCGATCCGAACCTGGATCTTTTCGGCCAACTGGTTTTTGCTCATCTTGGAAGCCCGCCGTATCCTTTCCAGCCAGCTGGATAGCTCGCTATTTCCACTGCACTGCTTATCGTATTGGGCGAGGTATGCCTTCAGGGTGGCCGTTTCCAGTTCATCGGCCTCCGCCAGGGGATCCACAACCTCCGTGGATGTGCTATTATCGGGAGCAGCAGCAGTACTCAAAATTCCGCATAACAGCAGAAACCAAGGAAGTATCATCTTTTCTTTTAAATTCAAACTTTACCCTGCACAAAGCCGGTGGGGATTGGACTCCTGCTGGGTCTTTTATAGCCGATAGTCCCTCCAACTGGAATGTCTTCATTAAGATAATCCCAAAACACAGTTAGACCCGGAAGCCTGACAATTACCCTAAATATGAGCCTTATCGGTGTCATTATTTATTTTGTAATTTCGAAATATTTTAGAAATTTTAATTGGCTCGAGAATCTTCACAAAACGAAGTTCAAGAAAATAAAATGTATTGCATACTTCTAGGGGTTGGGGCTAATGGAAGAAATCAGGAATATTCAAGGGGGAGCCATTGAAAAAATTCGAAAAAATTTAAAACGATCTATAGCGAAGGATTTAAATGAGGGATTGAGGCATTTGAAGGTCTGATTCCAAAAAGATATCCCTTTTCCCGATCGGGTTTAAATTGTAGGAGCTATGGGTATCGAAAGGGAGCTATATGGAAAAAATCGAAAATCAACAATTTTCAAGGGGAACCCCTTGGAAAAATTCGAAAAAATTGAAAACGATCTATAGCGAAGGATTTAAATGAGGGATTGAGGCATTTGAAGCTTTAATTCCAGAAAGGTATCCCTTTTTCCGATCGGGTTTAAATTGTAGGAGCTATGGGTATCGAAAGGTAGGAAAATGGGAAAAATCGAAAATCGGGAATTTTCAAGGAGGAATGGTATCCTTTTTTTTGGATCAGGTTTAAATTGGAGGAGCTATGGTTATCGGACCGGTATGAATATAAAGGAAATTCTTTATATATAATTTTTAAGGAATACCCCTTGATAGAAGCCACTCCAATCGCTAGGTACTGACAGGTAAGCACTTTTTGAAATTGATATTTGGTCTTGAAGATTCTTATCTTTCGGGTGGGTTTATGTTGTGTGTTTGTCGAAGCATAAAAACCGTGATATAATGGCGCTCTATGGAGGTTCCTGGGTGCCTCTCTCGCATTCTTTCAATTGAGGAAAGAGAGCACAAGCCAATTTATTGTGAAAGAACTGAGAGAAACGAGTGCGAGGCTGAGGTACAATTTCATCTCTCAGTTTGAATCACTCGCTCGCAACGATAAGTTGTTGAAGCTTTTTATTTTTTTTTGTATATCTAATTCAGAAAAATTTTCATAAAGTTGACACTCGAAAGCCAGCCAGAATGAGCTCTGGAGCCCAGGAAGACATTGTTGCCTACCAAAGCTTTTGGAGCAGGGAGCAAACGTTGAAGCTGATCCGAGCCTACCAGGAGCAGGATGTGCTATGGAATCGAGAGAATCTAGCTTTTGCACACCGACCGGCCAGATCGGAGGCATGGATGAAAATCGCCGCAGAAATGCAGGCTCATGTAATTGAGGTTAAAAAAAAAATGAATAGCATGATCCATACTCATCGGTTGCATAAAAAGCGCGGCACCACCAGTCGCACCTGGTGGGCTGTTCACTTCTCATTTCTCTCCAACCCGAAGTATGCTATCAACAGCAACAACAACAACAACAGCAACAACAACAACCAGCAGAAGAATTGCAACTCTAATGAGCACGAGAGCGATAAGACTAAGGTAAATTATCCACAACGGACGCTCTCTCTCTCTCTCGCAAGACTCTCAAAGCAAGAGAGGGTGTTCCGACAAACGGAATTCCGTTTGAAAAAATTTGAGATTTTAAAATTACATTTTGGAGATTTCATGAGTTTACTGAAATTCTTAATCTTTAATATTAAAACTTAAATTTTTTAAATTGATAATTTTATCTAATTTTTCAGAGTGGCTTTTCGGAGAACAGTTATGGTTCCCTTTCCGACAAGGATTTCGATGATATAAGCAGCGATTGTGAATTCGTGCAGGATAATCCCCTGAAACGCTCCGCTTTTGTAGAGTTTTTAAGCGAATTGGAGACTCCTGCCAAGAAACCAACACAAATTGGTGATATTAATGAGAATTCTGTACAGGATTTAACAGCGGATGACCTTGAAACGGAAGATCCAGAACATCCTTCAGAAGAGGAGGTGGAATATAAGACATTGGCATTCCAGCAACCGGATACAACGGAAAAGAATCTGGAAAATAATGACACCGAATTCTATATAAAATATTTGGCCTGCAAATTGGGAAATTATAGTCCCCGGGTACGAAGTATGGTTCAATTCCAAATCAATAAGATTATATATCAAGCCGATATGCAGACATTTCATCAGAATTAGTGTGGCTGTACTTGGAAATATCGACTGAAAAAAAAAGTGAGGTTAAGGAAAAACAATATAATTTGTTTTCTGCTTATTATTTATTTGCAAGTTTTCTGGTTCACTTATTTTTTGGTTTGCTAATTAATTATCACACTAAAAGCAACTCATAATAAATACGTACAACTAGGCTCTGTATATTTAGTTTATATGTCATTTGTTAATCCAAAACATTGATTCTTGTATGTTTCTTGCGGTCTATATATTCCATTAAAAAGCACTTATGTATCCTTAAATATTCATGTATATATATATACTAAATATATATTTATATATATACCTTAATATATATATAAATATATGTTCTCTATCAAGTTGAATCATTCATTATGTTATTCGTTTTTTTTGTTTTTGTTTTTTTGTTTTCTTGGAACATTTAAAATTGAAATAAAATAAATGGAAACTTGACATTTTTTCTTATCAAACTTTGTTGCAACTACAGTTATAGAAATAAATCAAGTTTATATATATATATATATATATGTATGTATATATGTATATGTATGTGCTAAAAAGACTGGTCCATAGATTAAGAGGTATTATTCAGTTTTGGCAAATTATAATTACAAAGCCTACAAAAACGTCCCTGACCAAAAATCGAAACCGAAAAAAAATACTAAGAGAAATATTAAAGAAATGTTTACCGATTCTGAAGTTATGTATGTATATATTTTTGTGGGTTCAAGCTCGAACAAAACGGAAAGTCGTTGAACGTGTTCGACATTGGCCAAAAACCCATCTATAAGTCCAACAAAAAGTCCAAAAACGAAATATATTTCGAGGCAACAAACACATGGAATGCAGTCAACGGAACACACTTTTTTTTGTTGTTTTTTTTCTGTATTTTTTGAATATATTTGACCCCCAAACGGGCAAAAAACAAAAGCCTAACCCTGGGCTAGGTCAGCCACAGACCGAAATGTTTTCGGAACTCAAAGCTACGAGAGCTCCCATTATGCCGATGATGATCTCATGGAGCTCTTTGGAGCAGCTCCACCACCACCAGTGATTAGATATATCCGAAAAGAAACACCAAGGTCGCTCAAAAATTTTAACCAAAAAACAAGAGAAGAAGAAAAACTAAAAAAAAAATAAATAAATAAAAAACATAATTTTTTGTGTTTAATTTTTTTTTTATAATTTATTTTGCCTTTGCTGCTTAATAGTTGGTTTTGTTTTTGTCTGCAAGTACGATCCAAATATATAGAGATCGGGGCAGAATACTATATAATGTATATATTGGTTTAACTATAGATAATGTTTTTGTTGTATATAAGAAATATTAACTAAAATGGAAATACATAGGCGTAAATGTTCATCTAAGGGCTACAAAATAATTCGTCTAGTTTAAAAAACGCACAATTATAATAATAATAATAATTAGAATTAATAATTGGTATAAAAATAATCATACAGAAAAAATAAACTTAAGGTACACATACTTAAGGTAACAAAAAAAATTATGCTTTAAAACAGGATGATGTTTCATAAAAAATAAACGCTTTCTACAACATTTTTTTGTCGATTTTTAACGATAAATTCTTTGAGTCTTGGACTTTCCTGACATATCATAGTAGAATCATAGTATTAATGTCCGATATATATTTTGTCCGATTTCTTTTTGGGGCCAAAGACGTGTGAATGAAAACAAAACAAAAGCGAGAAATGTGAAACGAAAACGAAATCGAAAGCTTAGGCGAGGCGAGGCGTCTTATAGAAAATATTCAAAAAAAAAAACATATATATATATATAGTTTTTTTTTAGATATTGTTTTTATATATATATATATATATAAAATCAATGAAAGCCAAGCTAGCGAAAGTTCGAGGAGAAGGCTTAGACAGAGCAATTCTCTTGGCTTTTCTCCATTTCTCTCACTGTGAAGAAGAAAGTGCCAAAGACACTCTCACTCTCTTTCTTCAGCTTGGTTTCTGTGTTTTTTTTTTAGTTTTTACCTCTTATTAATACTTAAAAAAATGTTCATTTAATTTTTTACACATAGATCATAATATTCATGATTTTATGCTTAGTATTTGTTTTTCTTTGTAGTACTTTTTTTTGTTGTTTATAATTATAACTTTTTTGTGTTTTTTTTTAGCCAAAAAAAAAACTTAAAATTCTATCACAGCCATAATTCTTTTTTTTCGAAGAAAAATTGTTTTTTTTTGCGGTTTTCCTCTTACTTTCTTCTTGTTGTTGTTGTTGTCTTAAAAATACAAAAATTGTTGCTTTTAAATTGTTGTTAATTCTAATATTAATTTTAATTATAATTTGTTAATTTGCCCGATTTATGATTTGAATGCACTTTTGTTGGGTATTTTTTAATCGTTTGTTTTCTAGGCTTGCTTTCAATATTTTAAAAAATTCTAATTGCACTTTTTTTGTATAATATTTAAAGTTTTCAAATTTCTATTTAAATTGTTTTGTTTTCTTGTCTCAGTTTTTTGTTCACTTGTTTCTTTATTTTTTTTTTTTGTTTTTGTCAGAGGAATTTTAAAAATTGGAACAAATTTTTAAGAAAAGATTTGTATTTTTTTTGGAATTGACGAAAATGAAACCTTTTTTTTATGTTTTCTTTGCCGATTTTAGGTGCTATTTGTTGTTGTTGTTGTTGTGTGACTAGGAGAACTTCTTCGGGTTAAAAATATTAAAAATATATATATATTTGTTTTTTTTATAAAAAATGAGATATAACAAAAAATTCGTTAACAAATCGTGGGCTCCAGGGCTTACCAGCCAAGTTTTAAAATTAAAGAATACCCTGGAATGTTCTTGGCTTTGTTTTTAGTTAACTTTTGATTGGAAGTTTGTTTTTTTTTTCGTTTTAAATTTAATTAAGGTATTATTTTTAAGGTATTTAATAAAATGGAGCTCTAGGAAACCGAATTTGAAACCGCAACTGAATTTTTGTTTAGCTTTCTTAATTAATTTTTTGTTTTGTTTTAAGGTTTATGTTGTTTTTTTGTTTATAAGTTAACTTATAAATTGTTCTCTCTTGTTTTTAGGTATTTTTTTTAAATGTGCTTTTTTGTTTTTGCTGTTTTGACTACAAATTCTTTGATTTTTGTTTTTGTCTTGATTTCATTTTTTGTTTGCTGCTGCGGCATCTTAAAAATTAGTAATTTTTTTTGTTGTATTTTTTAGTTTTGGATTTTTATGATTTTTGCATTTTTTGTTTTTTGTACAAACTGCGATTGCCAAATAATGAGTAATACTGGCTCGCTAAATATATAGTATATATATATATATTTGTTAACTAAGCCTAGGTTTAAACTTAGATCTACTCTCATAGCCTAATGGTTTTCTTATATTCTTATAATCTTCTACTTTTTTGTTTAAGATTAATACAAAAACATAATCTTAAAATTTGAAAACTTGATTTTTTTCAGTTTTTTTCTCATTTTTCAATTTTTTTTTTTCAATAATCTTTGTCTGCTGCAGGAGATGGGGGCGTGGCGGGTGGGTGATTGGAGGCTACTAGGAGGGAGTATTTTTTTTTTTACTGATACTTTCATGTCTCCAGGGAAGTGACCACCAGATTGTGGAAGACACTCGCCGATTCGCTCATCATAGCCGCCTGGCCGCAGGAATCGCTGCTGGCGCCGCTCGGCGGCGTTGGAGTACCCAGTCTCAATGCATCCATAATCACCTCAAAGTCCTTCTGGTTCTGGTTCATATCGAAATCCACCAGCTCCAGGTGATGGTGCAGCAAGTGATGATGATGATGATCGTTGCCGTTGGTGGACAGTTTGCTGCGCTTACTGCTGGGACCCTCGATGCCGGCGCCAGCGCCTGCAACCACTCCCGTCGATCCAACTCCACCAACAACTCCCAAACCAACGCCCGACACTCCCACTCCGCCCACACCCACACCCACACCCACGCCCATACCCATGCCGGACATTCCCAGGCCGACCACATCCAAAGGACACTCCTCAATAGCCGAGATGAGGCGTTGCGGTGGTATATAGAACTGGGAGAGTGCCTCCCTCACCAGACGATCGCTCTCGTCCTCGCTGCTGCTGTTGCTCCTCAGCCGTTTCCGGCTAATCTTCTCCAGCTGCTCAGCGCCCTGGGTGATCTCCGGATCGATGAGCAGCATGGGGGCATTAATGGCGCTCAGTTCCCGGTCGAGTATCTCCAGATCGTTGACCAAATTGCTGCTCGACAGGTGTCGTTTCCGGCCATTGTTGGCCGTGGCGGATACCGAACCGGAAACGGAAACAGGCGCCGAGGCAGCAGCCGCCGGTGCCGAAGCTCCAGCTGGTGACTGTCGTCCTCCGGATGCACCTCCTTGTGGCGGCTGATTCTCCAAATCCACAGCTCCTCCACGTCCTGCCATTTGAGATTCTCCGCCATATGACTTTCCATTATTATTATTATTATTTGTTGTATTATTATTATTATTATTATTAATATTGTTGTTATTGTTATTGTTGTTGTTGGTGGTGGCTGGCTTGGCATCATCCATATTTGGCTGGAAGAGATTCTCACGTGCCAGTTCCGTGGCGGCCGAGCTGTCGGTTCTGCAAAAAGAGAGAGAAAGTGGGAAAGGGAAAGTTAGTCTCGGATGGTCTCGACAACGGTGGCATTACAACAGAAAAGTTTACAAAAATATAATATATTGTTTATAAGAGGGTCTTTAGATATGACAGAAGAAATCAAGAAAATCAAAAGAAAACCTTATAATATCTATACCTATCATATCTTGAACTATATTATAGTTTATATAAAATAATAACTCAAGAAAACCCCCTAAACTCTTAGTTATAAGCTCTCCAGTTAAGATCTCTTTTAAGTTTTAGTCTCTAATTTGAGTAATATTCCGCTTCCCAACACTTTCTCTAGAAAATCCTTCCTCTTCCCAACACTTTCTCAGGCTATTTGGCCTCAAATCAGTTAACAGCGTAATCTTGTCATAAACATTTCAACGCCCATCGATAATACATATACCACATCTCACCCAGCCCCCCCCCCGTCCCAAACCATCCCTTACCAAAGTCAACCCTGACATCAGAAATATTTGTTTCCCGGAAGGTGGGGGTGGCTTGAGGGTTTGTTGTATACCTTGGTGGTTTATGGCGGGGCGGAGCAGGGGGATCCGCTTTTAATTAACTGGGCCAACAACTGTGTGGTGACCAGCAGCGAAGTAAATTTCAGTTAATTTCTCTTTCAATAAAAGCTTCATCTACCCCAGTCCTAGTCCCCCTATCTCCCCCCATCTTGTTGCTTTTCCAGCCAATATGGCAACCATTTCAAGTAAAAAAAAAAAAAACAACAACAGTTATAAGAAGAAGAAACAGCTGGAGAGGAAAACACAAAATAATAATGTTAAAATAAGGTAACAGGAAAAATATCAGAAATGCATTGAAAAAAAATAAAAAAAAATAAATCTAACCTTATAAATCCATATAAGGGTTAAAAATTAACGTAAATTAACTCTAACAATGAGTTTCAAACATCATACTTCAAAAATAATAAAAAAAAAAAAAATTCTAACCTCAAAGTTTCGAACCTCACACTGAACTCCACTTCTTTCTCTCTTTCCAACACTAATTTCTCTCCCTGTACAGGTAGGTGGGCGGGGGGGTCTGGTAGGGGGCTGTGCGACAAACAACGCATTAAAATGCGCAGCTGAGCATGTCAATGTTGACTATTAAAGCTACAGAGCAACAAATGCTCAAAATATACGGCAATATAACTGACAAGAATGGCAAGCGGTCTTTACCAAGGGACCCCAAAAACAGGGCCAATAGGGGGAGGCAGGAGGCGGAGGGCAGAGCCCAGAGAGAGAAGTACAAAAAAATAAAAGCGAAAGTATGGAGGAATCTGTACAAAAAAAAAAAAAAAAAACGAAACAAGCGGAGAAGAGAAGAAAAAAAAAAATCGCTCAACTTATAGAAACCAAAAAACCAGAAAGCGTACACTCAGTGGGGAGGGGGGAGTAGAGAGGGATGGGGGCCAAGCAAAAAAAAAAAAAATTAAATAAAAAAAAAAAAAAGTGTGTTAGTTTCGTTGTTGTTGTTGCTTTTAATGCTTGTTGGTTGTTCGTACGCGCAACCGTTAACTTGAAATGATGGACGGCCGAAACAAAATGGGAGCAGCAAGCAGTGGCAGCAACGATGGCCAAGAAGGAGGAGGAGGAAGGCGGAAGAGACGCGGACGGCAACTGACCAAATGAGGTGCCAAAAGGCCAAACGACCGCGGGGGGGGAAGGAGGGGACCCGACTCTTGGCCGGAAGATTGCACAAGTGGCCCACGAAACGGAGTTAGAAAAGAGACAAGCCAGAAAAAAAAAGGGTCAAAGATAGGGGGGGCCTAATTGCATCGATTGGTAGGGCATGGAAAAGGTTAGGCTTTAAAAGGGTTTACTAATTTTGAAGATAGAAATGCAATAATGCTTTAAGAAATAGAAATAATCGATAAAAATCGATAGATTTTATTGAAAAGTATCTAAGTTTAATCGTTTGTTGGTTAGTGATGGAAAAGTGAAAGCTTTTAGATCGATAACGATATAATTAATAAGGCTTACGGCCCATAATCTAAGATATCGATAGTGTTTCGATAGAATTTTGAAGGAGTTACAGAAATAATCGATATTAGATATCGATATTAATCTTCCATCGTTTAGTGAAGGAAAAGTAAACACTTACAGATTAATACCGATAATCGAATCTAAGATATCGATAGTAATTCGATAGAGCTTCAATAAAGAACCTCTCCTAAAACAGAACCCATTTTGTAGGTTAATATCTCGATTAGAACCAGCCCACGTGCCATCTATATATAAGCCCATGCTAATGACAAGTGCTAATGCGAATATTTAGATACAAATTAGTCATATCGATAGACTGGACCATATTAGTCAGTCGGAATACTAAAATCGTCTTTAATCTGTCTCGAAAGTCTATTTAGTAATATCTTATGAGTAAGCCATGTTTCTCTATAAATATTCTCATGTGGCATGCGACCGATAAGCTCAACAGCAAACTTGCAAAAAAAAAAAAAAAGTTATATATCTTTTAGTATTTTCTTCATATTTTTTTTTTTTTGTTGTTTTCTTTTTTTTTCTTTGTCCTTCGTCTGGTTGTCTTATCTGGTTTTTCGTTTTGCGCACGTTTTCGATGGTCGTCGCGTGGCGTTAACTTTTTTTTTTTTGCTTTCCATCCACCCATCGCCACTCCTCTCCCCCTGGATATGTGGCGAGTTCAACCCGAAATTGGGGCACACTTATTACGCGTTAATCTTTGCCTCCCGAAACTTGGTCAACCTTTGCGGCCGCCCACCAAAGTGGGGTGGGGTTTCCAGTTCAAGGCTCTTTAGGCAACGGTTATTACTTAACTTTTTGTTTGATTTTGTTTTTTTTTTTTTAACCAGAAACTGGGTTGAACCCCAAAAAAAAAAAGAGTTAATAAATGAATGAATGAATAATATTAAGAGAGTTCTTTGAAAATAATCGAATGACCTGTTTCGATTAATCGAATTGAAAAATTTTGGTCGCCAAAAACGAAATGAGGCATAAGGGAAAAGGATTTTCCAGCTGCACTTGACAGGGTAGAAAATTCCCAAAGGGTGGGGGGGGGTCCACAGAGGGAAAGCAATGTGAGTGAAATGGAAAAATGTGGAAAAAAAAAAAAGAGCGAAAGCGGCAAAGAAAGACGAAAACGTTGTCAAACGACAAGTGCACACAAAGCAAGGCAAAAGCAAAGAAAGAAGAAGAGAGGAGGGGGGGATGGAGGGGGGCAGCAGACAAAACGAACGTGTGAAGAGGAGGGGGAGGGGGTATACAAAAGCTAGGGGGTGTGGGGTGTGCAAGTCGCGAATGTAGGACGCTGTTGGGGGTCATTGAGCGCGCTTTTGACTTGCGGAAAGACTAGAGGGCGAGACGAGGAAGAGGGAAGCGAGGGAATGGATGCCAAAGGGATACAGTAGGGGGTGTGCTGCTACCCAAAAAGGAAGCAAAAAAAAATATATGTGCCATAAGGGGGCCTGCCTGACTGCCTGGCCTGGCCTGGCTGCCTGCTTGCCACATGGGGCGCTGGCAGTTTCGTGTCAAAGACAACTTCATTTCCACAGTCTCCGCTTCAGAAAAAAAACATGTCTGAACCTGCACAGAATTACTCAAAGTTCGGTTCGATGGCTTGCTACGCTTCGTTTCCCCATACACTCCTTTTCTTAAAAAAAAAAAAATGAAAATAAAATAAAATTAATAATTGAAAACAATAAAGAAAATAAAAAACCCCGTCACCTTGTTCACCTGAATATCATGCTGTGTTCACACGCCTCAATTATTACAATTTATTTATTTTGTTACCATCCGCATACTCTCTCTATCTGACTATCTTTCCATCTATCTATCTATCTATCTGCTGCTTATCAGTGGGTTTGGCTTGGTTTCCCCACAAAATACCTCTCTCTCTGATAACTTGGCCAAAAAAAACAAGGAGTGACGCGAATGGCTTGGCAGAAAATTGCGCGCGTGTCGCAAGGTTATAACGAGCGGGAAACTGAAAAACAATTAAAAAAAAAAAAACAAAATACAAAACGGGTAAACAAAAACAAGACAGCCCGAGTCCGAGAGCGAGAGCGAGCAGTTAACCAGTTGCCGCCACTTATTCAGGCCATCTTTATTCCACAACTCTCAGTCAACATTGTATAATCGAATTGTTCTAAATAGTTCACAACAATAATAATAATAACAAGGGCACAGCAACAAAATATGCATTTCCAAGACGCAACTTTTCTACACTGAGAAAAATCAACTGCAAGATTGTAAAAGATATCTCAAAAGATCAAATAGTTAGAGATGGTATACTGCCATCCACCATAATTAGTGATGGTAAGTCAATACAAATAGTTATGACACAAGATCATGCATGGTAGTGATGGTAGTTTAGAAAAATAATATATATCGAACAACCTATTTATTTATAGATTCTTATCTTTTGTTTCTTCGAGTGTTGGGTGAGAGGGCGGCTTGGAGGTTTTCAGACAAAGGGAATACTAAATTGCTAGTGGTGGTGCAATTCGCGTTACCGAATAGATGATGAGATGAAAAGCAGCAACAGCAACACCAACAACAACTCTGGCACACGACGAATCGGAATCACAACAATAAAATCAACTAAAAAACACAAAACAAAAACAAAGCCAAGCGACACGAAGATAACAATCGAATAGAAAGAAGAAACTAAAACAGAAACAAGAAGGGGAAGCACAAAAAACTATAAAAACGTCGTCGCAGTCGCGAAATTATTACGACGACGCCACAAAATGGGGCGGCCTGAGTGGGTTACACAAAAAAAAAAAAAAAAAAAACAAATACAAAATAGAAATAAAAAATAAAATATAAAAAAAAAAAAATTATGCAGAAGAAAAACTACAAAAACAACTATGATGATGATGATGTCTACTGTTGAGTATCTGTATCTGTATCTGTGGCTGTGCGAGGCTGAAGCGACAGAGACAGAGCTGAGCATAAAGCACAAGCACAAAAGAGGGCGAAAGAGGGTGGAAAAGGGAGGCGCAGATTGGAGAGGAGATTCGGTAAGCTATTGAATAAGAGCTAGGGGGCTGTGTTTATTGCTCTTGTTGCTGTTGTTGTTGTAGCTACACAACCACAAATTAAATTTAATTTTAAAGATTTAAAAATAACTACTTTCGATATGTTAGTTATATTTCTTTTTAAATACTACCATCACTAACTGTAAGATCTTCCGCTATTAGGAGTATTGTTGATGTACCATCACTAATTATGATTTTCTTACGATAACTTAACCTTAAATTAACTTAAAAATTTGTAGCTACCCATTTTTTTTGACAGTGTTGCTTTGGCGCAATGTCGAGAGTGTTTAAAATGCAGCATTTTGAATGGGGTTTTTGCATTTGAGCAAACGGATGCATAAGCAATGAGCAGCCTGGATATTGTGTAGACGGATGGATGGATGGATAACTACCAACTTCCCAAAATGCCGTCGAAACCAAACTTTAAATTGCAAAATAATCATAAAGTATCTTATAACGCAACTAAGTAGTATCTGTCTATCTATCTCTCTATCTATCTATTTATGTACATATGTCCCCTCTTTTAATTACAATTTCACCGTTTAACATATTTTTGTTGTAATTATATTATCGATTGCTGGCTGACTGACTGGCTGGCAACAACAAAAAAGTTAATAATAAGCACATAAGCATATCACTCCACACTTTATGCCATATTTCATGTGAAGCAGAGGCGAACAGAGAAAACATGTCAAACAAAAGCCCAAAAGCAACAAAGTCAAAAGCAAAGTCAAAATACAAAGAAAAAAAAAAACAAAAAAAAAACGGAAACGCAAAGCACGAAGTCTGTGAGAGAGAGACGCAATGTCCAAAAGGAAAATCGGCGATGAATTAACTTCGCAATGAAACAACAACAACAGCAACAATAACAACAAAACGTGTAACGGTATGTTGAATTGTTTGTTTGTTTGTTTTCTCCTTTGGCCCGTTGAAAGAAAGCAAAGCAAGGCAACCAACTAACCATCGAATCAACGGTCCAAAAGAAAGCAAGTAAAAAGCATGCCAAAGCATGCTCATTTTGCCAGATGATGATAATGATGATGATAGCAGATATATGGCCAGCAGGTGGGCTAAACTAAAAAAAAGGGGGCGTGTGTGTGCTTGTTTGTTGGGCGCCAGTTTCAGTTTTCCGGCAACAAAATGTATATCTTTTCGCCATAAAGATACAAAGATACATACAGGTCCTGTATCCTTTATTACTTTTCTTAAAATTTATATTTTTTAATTATTTTTCTATAGTGTACTTATGTATGTAAGTGTGGAATATCCAAACACTTGTTACCTGAAGGTTTAGTGCACTGAGTGCTGTTGTTGTTGTTGTTGTTGGCATGTGCTTACAACAACAAACCAAGACTGCATTAGGCTATCATCGCTTCACTGTTGTTGCTTTTGCTTTTGCTTTGGCTTTTGTTGTTATTATTGTGGTTGCTTTTTGTTGCAAGTGGAACGTGATTATTTCAACGAGTGCTATGCACAATCACACAACAACGACCTAAAACATACTCTATTTTGATTTATTTAAAACATCTTTATCTCTGCCATCTCCAAAGTTCCATCTCTAATTGTGGTACATTCTGTGACAGCGCTTTAACCTCTCTTGGAAAGAGCATTCGTGCAAGTCCAGACAAGCAAAAAAAAAAAACAGAGACGCGCATACACACATCCATGTGCATGTTTAAAAAAGTGTGTACATATATATATATATTTTTTTTGTATTTATATGTATAACCATTTGTTGGCTTTGATTTCTTTTTGCTTTTGTTTTGCTTTCGAAGGTTGTTGCTTTTTGGATGCGTGTGCATTTTTGTTCCTGCTTTTTTGATTGATTTCATTTGTGTGTTGTTGTTGTTGGCTGGCCTATTGTCGATTAAGTGGAATGTTGTATCTGTTATCTTTGGTACTTCAATTAGTTATCAACAAGCCAATGGTATGCCAAGCAGCAGCAAATCAATTTCCATTTATTTGTACATATTATCCAATCTAGACATTTTAGTTAACAACTGATTATTTAATCAGTCTATTTATACTATGTAGTCTTGTAAGGGAATATTTGTAATAACATTTCTTAATTGCTTGTGTAGCTTAATGGCTATTTGGGATTTTCCGAAATTTCCCTTCTTTGTTTCTGGGCCCTTCTCCAAAAATCATAATCATTTTTTTTTGGTATTTTTTTTTTGGAAAAATCCCAAAAGCAACAATGAGCCAAAGCACACAATCAACTGTTGGGTTGGTTTTTGGTTTCGTTTCGTGCTGGCCGTTTTTTTTTTATGTCTCTGAGTATCTGAGTATCCGACCGAGTATCTGAGTATCTGCGTTTAGCTATGCTTCGTTTTGGCTTGCCTTGCTTTTGCTTTGTGACTTGCCTTGCTTTTTGTGCTTTTTTTTTTTTTTTTTGCTTTTTGCTTTGGGTTTTGGGTTGGAGAGTAGTTGCTGGCTGCTTTTCTTTGGTTTGGAGTGGTGTTTTGGCCTGAATGTTGTCTGCTGCTAGCTATGAAATATGCCTGTGGTAGTACGTCTCTATATCTGTATCTGTATCTGTATCTGTTGAATTGTTGCTGCAACATTGCAAAAGTCCTTATGGAAGCCATACAAACACTGACTGTTTGTTGGCTTAAATAATTGCATCATCTTTTGGGCCAACAAGCTAATACTTTTAAATACTTTTTCTAGCTATAAAGTCCTTGTTTTTTGTTGGTTTGACTTTCAAATAAGTTGCATCATTGTAAGGTTTTTGGGATTTTTCATTACCAATTAGTGGCCAGGCTACCCCCCCTATAATTAACCAGACGACGGGGCTGGCAGTTACTAGTTATCTGTCAACAACTAGTAGCACTGTTGCATCACCGCCCACACATTGTCATTTTGTATCTTGTATCTCAACACCTTGCATTATCGAATCAGTCTACTGTTTGGATTTAACTGCCGTAAATGCCACGCAACGCAACGCATCGTATCGCCTCCTTCTAGGCCCTTTGGCCTTTAAGCCCAACCACAAGCTCCACCTACACCTACGCTGTAGATGTAGCTGTTGCTGTAGCTATAGCTGTTGCTGTATCTGTATCTGTATCTGAGTATTTATACGCACACGCACTTTAAAGGGCAAACACAAATCAAGCATCCGCCGCGTGGGCGTCGCCCTCCCAAGTTCACAGTTCACATGACACAAAACGCAAGCATTGTGATGAGGTTGAAATAATATTGAGACACCCTCTTCTGGGTTCCGTGTCCTCACCCAAAACCTCCACCTCCACCTCCATCCACGACATAAAGCCAACAAGCAAGCAAGCAAGCGAGTTAATTTATTTCGCAAAATTTACATGCATACCGTATCAGGTATGAAAGGGTTTTGTGCTTTTTGTTTGTTGAATCGAATGTATCAGGTTCAAATTTAAATTAATGACAATTTTCAGAATATACACACACACACTGAATGCCTTTTAAAGGGCAATTAAATCCCATATTGAGTAACTAACTAGACCCTATACTTGTTAGTCAATCACTAGCATGCTGATTAGCTTTGAAACACTAATATTTCACTTAAATTACCAGCCAGTCTATAAAAAATGATTTAAAACAGGAGAGAAATGGTTAAATTGTGCTTAAAAGTGGCATTATTTGCTTTGAAAGCATGCTTTTTGAAAAGTTTTTAAGGTTTTCTGGTTTTAGAAAGAGTTTTAATCATCGCAACTGTCTATATTTGATCTTAGATTGATTTTCCTCTCTTGCTTTTCAGAAAAAGCAGGTCTTTAGCACTGTTTTATGTAAAAAGCATGCTTTTTGGCTAAGAAAGGTCATAAAAACTAAAGTATAGCTTGCAAATAAAGCAAATATGATTAAATCATATGAAAATCACTTGAAAAATTCCCATTTATTGCCAAACCTTGAAGTCAATAGTGCTTAGAAAAGGCATTATTTGCTTTGAAAGCATGCTTTTAGAAATTTTTTGGGTTTTTATAGGTAATTTGAAGAGTTCCTTCCTTCCAATTATCTAAAAAACTGATTTTAGATGATGAATCCTTCTTTGCTTTTTGGAAAAGCATGTCTGCAGCACACTTTTCTTTAAAAAGCATGCTTTTTAGCAAAGCAGGGTCATAACAACCAAAGTTTAGCTTGCAAATAAGCTAAATATCATTAAATAATATGAAAATTACTTGTAAAATTCCAATTTATAGTCAAACCTTGAAGTCAATTGTGCTGGAGAAAGGAATTTTGTGCTTTGAAAGCATGCTTTTAGGATTTTTTTTTGTTTTTAAAAGTTTTTTTTAAGAGTTCTGATAACCCCAGTTATCTAAAAACTGATTTTAGAACGATTTTCCTTTTCTGCTTTATAAAAAAGCAAGTCTGTACCACACTTTTCTCTAAAAAGCATGCTTTTTAGCAAAGAAGCATCATAAAAACTCAATTATAACTCCCAAAGAACTCAAATCGGATGAAAACCAACATATAATCATAGATCTTTACTAACCTGGGAAGATTCTGGAGGTAACGCATTTGCTTCTCGCGCCTCAGCTCATCGGTGAGACGGCAGTAGGTGTTGTTGATGCAGACACTGCGTCGGAGATTGGCCTCCGAGTCCTTGATCCTTTCCAGCTTGTGGGCGCAGAGCTGGAGGATGCGCTTGCGCTCCTCCCGCTGTCGTAACTTTGGCGAGATCATTGGCACGCGCGACCGATGATGATGGTAGCCCATGGGCGGGGAGCAGCGGGGCGGTCCGAACATGTCTGAGTCGTCGTCGCTGCCGCTGCCACTGCCGTTGCCCGCGTCGTTTGGTGTTGCATTTGTGTTTGTCGGCAAGGTCATTGCGCCTCTACGTGTATGTGTGTGTGTGTATGTGCGTTTTTCTTGCCGTCTGCCTTGTCTGTCTATCTGAGAGTACGTGTGTGTGTGTGTGCGTGAATTAAACACACAGTATCTTCTTCCTTTTAAAACAAAACTTTATTTCGCCTGGGGGGGGGTGGGGTGTGATTTTTTTGATTTTTTCTTTGTTTTTGATTTTGGATTTTGTTTTATTTATTTTTTTTCAATCAGGAAGCGCGAACACACAACACACACTCCGTCGGCGGCGGCTTCTCTTCTTTTTTTTTTGTCACTCTCTTTGCTGCGCTCTCTCTTGCACTTGCTACTGCTGATGTTGCTGCTGCTGCTGCTTCTTCTTCTGTCTGCCGCTTAGTTTTTTTTTTTTGTTCGTTCAGCTACTGCTTTTTCTTTTTTTGCCTTTTTTTTTTTTGCGTGAGATTTCACTTTGCTTGGTTACCGTTACGGGGAGCTCTTCTGCTGCTGCTGCTGGTAATTTGCATTTGTCTTTGTTTCAAAAACAAAATAATATATTTTTGTTTTTTTTTGTTTTTTTAATTCAAAATAATCCAGGACTTTTGAATTTTGAGTTTTGAGGGTTTTTTTTTTTTTATTATTTGCACTTAAATATTGCTTCAACAGGAAAAAAAATGCAACAAAAATTGCAAGACCACTAGTACTGTTTTGTTTCTTAATTTTTGTTGTAACTTTGATTTGTTATTGTTTGGTTTGGTTTTCTTTTTCTATTTTTTGTTGATTTTCATTCGAGGCACACAATTGACAAAAAAAATTGCAAAAATTTGATTTTTTTGTTTGTTTGTTTTTTTATTTAAAAGATTTCCATTTAAAAGTATCTTTTGATGCGGCGATTTTTTTTCTTTTTGCAAAATAGGTGACGCGGTGTAAGTTAAAGGGGTTACGAAGTGAAAGAGCGTAATTGGGAGCGCGTGGCTAAGTCGACGAAAGGTTTCGGTCTGTTTTCTTCCGCACCGTTTTCGGAGTAGTGTTCCGCATCCGTCGGTGTTCGAAAACTTTTTGACATTTTTTTGTAAACACAATTGCTTTTTGATACTCGCCACTGGTGCGCTCTCGGCTGGCTATGCCAGCGTCGGCAGCGTCGGCTCTCTTCGGACGTCGGTCGTGAGCAAGCAGGCAAGAGCAAGAGCAAGAGCGGCAAACGGAACATGCGAACGCTGAATGAAAAGATAGTACCGCCACTAGCCTACACTGGTGGTCATGGTAGTAGGACACTTATTTTCTGCTTGATTAACTAGGCTTAGTAATTTCTTTTAATTTATTGGCCAAAGTGGTTATTTGATTAAGTCTATTAAAGAAAAAAAGACAAGAAATAGTGGCTTACAATCTTAATAAAACCTTAAAGTTTAAACTTTTAAGAAAACTAAAAAGTATCTTAAAGATATCTTAGAAACCATAGTAAGCCAATTGCATGGCCATCACAGTTTGTCGCTGTCGGCGTCGGCAGAGTGCACAGATGTTCATATTGAAACGGAAGTAGCGCGGTGTCAAAGAGAGCGCGCCCTCTCTCTTCGAAGAGTGTGGACTTAAGAGAGTGCCCACAGATGGCCTACGTGATGGCCGCGTGCCCCTGTCTCGGCGTGTGCCTTAGGATGTATGCTTGTGTGTGTGTGTGCAAGTAGCGCAAAGATTTTGGCAGCTCCTCCAACCCCCTTGGCCCCTCGCACCCGGTTGCCCCAACGTTTTTTGTTTTTTTTTGTAACGGAAGCAAAACGCAAACTCATACAAACGAAACACTGGTCAGTGGGTGGTTGTGGGTGGCTTTGGGGGTTTTTTTGTGTTTGTTGTGTTGTGGGCGTGCGGGGCATAATTTTGATAGTTGCTGTTGCTTGTCTGCCTGCCTTTTTATTATGTAAAGAAAGAGAGAGAGAGAGAGAGGGCAGAAAAAGGTGGCAAGCAAGTGGCTTTGGGTGGCTTTTTAAAATGCTAAATACTTCCTAGGACAATCAGCATCGGTTGAGGTAATTGGTAAAGGTAATAATAATAATAATAATAAGCCTTGTAGATACTTTATCTCAAAGATACTTTTGCTAACTATCTATAAGCTACAATTTTCTTTAAAATTTAAATACAAATAAAATATTTAATCCTTGACAATCTTTAAGATAAATTTAAAATCAGTGTCAAAGCTCTTTTTCATAGCTATCTCTATCTCTCTCTCTCTCACTCTTCCCACACCCCCACACTATCAAGTACAAGTTCAACTCAATTTACGGTTTTTAGAATGTTCCGTTACAAAAACAACAACAACAAAAACAGTGAGGTCAGTTTCGGCAATCGGTCCAGTTGTCTGTACATAAGTATGTATGTATGTATGTAAGAGCGTGGCAATCACAAAGAGACAATGCAAATTTGCACTCAAACAAAGAGACAAACAAGATAGAGAGGGGGTGGGGGGCAGGCAGGCAGCCAGCGAGAGCATAAAAAGGGGGAGCAGTTCATGAGCGAACAGTGGGCCGAGTGGGCCGAGAATGGGCTGGCAGGCAAGTGTCAGATCTTTGTGTTTATTTGTTGTTGTTCATGTGTGTACTATTATTAAGGCATCCGAAGACAGCGATGACGATTGTTTTTGTTCTTTGAAAACATTTTTAAATTTTTATAAAAAAAAAAACATTGAGAGAAAAATTCCCCGCAATGTTCGATGATTCAGCAACAGTGGAGGGGGGGAAAAACCGAAAGAATTCTATCATCAAAATGGATCACTTTCTTTCATTAATTGTTTCAGCGAAAGTTTTATGGTTTATACAGAATGGAATGCATTGGAAGACCTTCGACCTTAGACCTTTAACAAAAAAAAAAGTTATCTTTCTGGCTTTGCATTTTCTTGTAAAAGATAAAGATAAATACGTATTACGTAATTAAGCAGCTCCAACAAAAGCAACAAGAACAACAACAACAACAAGCTAACAATTAAGTATTTATTGCTTTCAATTTGCTGCCCGATAACAGAACACAAAATCAAAAAAACACAAAAAAAAACACAGAACAAAGTAAATAAAAAGCAAAGCGGACGCACACAAACACACCGACACAGCAGCGCTGCTACCTGCGGCGGCGTTGGCGGCGGCAGCGAAATCAGCGCTTCATGTTCGAATTTCGAGAGTTGCTTGTTTTTTTTTTTTTTTTTTTTGTTATCGCTTTTAATTCTTTGGCACGCGCTTTTGGTTTTTATTTTCGCAGGTAAAGCATCGCGATTCGCAAGGAAAACAACAACAGCTGCGGGCCAAGTGAAAACTATGTATGTTTGTATGTATGTATGTTGCTTTGGGCCAAATGCAAATTGAAAATTATTGCATTTGTTTGCAACAAATACAGAGCAACATACAACATACAAAGCAACATGGCAAACAATAAATGGAAAGCAACAGCAACAGCAGCCCACTTTAATTATCAATAACATATTTAAGTTTCCCCAAGCACTGGCATGACCATCCTGGCCTCACCACCCCCCTCCCCACCCTCTCTGCCGTCGTCAATTGTACGCGCTACCACGTTTTTTAGCCCCCACTGTCTGGTGCTCTTTTTGGTCTGTCGCGGCTCTCTTTTTTTTGTTTTTTTTTGGTTTTGGGGGGGGAGAATGACGCTCTTTGCATTGGGCACTCCACAAACGGAGAGTACAGTGGTATAAATATAAAGGATATATTTGTAACTTTATGATTTAACCCTTAGGGTTAATTTTTTGACCTTGAAGATAAGCCCACTTTTAACCACTTTAACGGGGATTGTAAAGGATTATCCAACATATATAGTGCTTACCTGAAATCAGGACATCAGGACAGGTAACAAAAGGATCAAGAAAACAACTGTCGTATGGAATATTTAGAATATATATGTATGTATATAGAGTATAGGTGTGATGAAGCCCACTGTGCCGCGTGTGAATGAACGTATAAAAAGTGAGAGCGTCGCGTCGCGTTGCCTGCTCTGCGGGCTTCAGCTCATAAACGAAAATCAATGACTCCCAATGCGCTTCCCTCTTGGCTCCATCAAAGCGGACCCCCCACCTCTTACCGCCCCCTCCCCACCCCCGTCACCGTCGCTCGACTTTCAGAGTGATAAATGCCGCCTTAGCGTCGTCAGCAGATTCAGCCTGCGCATGTTTTGTCAGTATGTACATATGTATGTAGAAATATCTTGTAAGTAGGTAGGAGCATACATATGTATGTATGTATGTATGTAAAATATACATAGATACAAAGTATAAACCCCCCCCATTTTGTTGATTTGAATGCATTTTAAGAAATGACTTCCCGTAAGACTCTATTTTCAGTTCAGATCTTTGGGTATCTGACAAATATGTGGCATATAAAGGTGGTTGCAAGTACATACATACATGTATAGTAGTAGTTGTAGTTTAAAGGCCTAAAAATTAAAGAAAAAAGGCCTAAAAGGGTAGCATAACGGTAGGCATTTGCATTTCTCTCTCTCCACCTTTGTCTGCCTTCTGACTCTTCTGGCTTGGCATCTTCTGCTCTGCTCCCGAGCGAGAGCGGGGTACGCTTTGTGTTTTTATGCTTTCAACATTGATACGTGCCACTTTTGGCATACACACACACACATACATATACAGGAGGGTTGGGGGCAATGTGTGGGGACAGCTGGGTAAGTTTGTAATTAATTGCGGCCTTGCTGTTCTCACCCCCCTCTTCTCTCGCGCGCGCTCTGGCTCGCCCCCCCCCACCCCTCCCCCGAGAAAGCAGCCGCCAACAGTTTGTTTTCTTTTCTCCCCACTCGCTTCGGGATTTCCGTCTCAGGCTGGCAGCCCCGAGGGGGGGGGGGGCGGTGGTGGTGTCCGTCGGCCTAGTCTAGTCGCCAATCCAATGCTCCAACTTATGTACCTCTCTTGCACTCCATTCATGCCGCCCCTCTACCACAGTACAGTAAGCACTCGCTAAGTATCCTCTCTTGGTGTGTGAGTAAGACCACTCTCTTAATTCGAGTCATCACTGTACCGTAAAGTAGTAGCTATCCAAAAACGGACAATGACGGCAAGGCGGCAGGCGGCAGGCAGGCAGAGGGCGCAAAAAAAAGAGAGCTCGAGGAGAAAGAGGAGGTCCGACCAGAGCAGAGCTGAGCTGAGCAGAGAAAGCGCGCTAGTTACAGTTACAGTTACGTTACAGAGGGCCGGCCAAAGACAATGCTAAGCTCGGTTAACGGTAAT